AAGGATTAACTATGTCAGGTCCTGGAAATCTGATTATTAGTGATGGAGATTTTATCTGGTTACGGAAGCTTATGGATTTTCTAAACTAGTATTCCGTACTTAAAACTAGCACTTTGAAATACTTTAAACATTCACAATATCATAACATCGCCCCATCCTATATATAATAACAACAAAAACATACAACAGTGAGGATTCGCTGGTGGTCACCCACCCAACTACTAACTCACCGGCGTGTGGCTTAAGTACGGCTGAGCGGACGGGAAGCCCTGTTTTCCACACCCTATGGTCGTATGTACTCGACATACAACTTGAGAGAAATATATAATGCATATAGTTGATGAGAAGGGTCCTGCAGATTGTGGGCATACAACATTGTATGTTGTACTCCGTAGTCGAAAATCACTACTACCACAGTTGTCTAACCTAATTAGGAAGGTCGCTCTCGGCACACCATTTTCAATACGAGTGTCATTTATTACGGTATCGCCACTTTATGATCTGTTTTATATTCAGCCCCATATTACCCAATCCCTCACCGAGTCACCCGATCTGCCACTATTCAGAGACCATGAATAATGAACTACCACCATGATGCTATTCAGAGACCACCTTATCTGTCAAGATGAAGCTATTTAGAGATCAGCTGATCTGTTAAGAGAAGTTTTCTCAATTGGTAGGATCAAAATTAAATCGTAGGTTTGTGCGGTATGTCGCTAATCCGTAGATTTCACTCCAACTTCATACAATTGAACCATAGTTAGTATTAAACATCGGTCGCATTTAATTAATCAGATATTCTCTGCTACCTAGCATTAAATGACATGTCCAGAATTGAATTATCTCTATTAGTGGTGGTTGAGTTAATTTGAATCACTTCATGCTGCTCGATCTCTGAATAGCTTCATATTTTGACAGATCAGGTGATCTCAGGACATAATCTGATGGATGCAGCTCAGCATCCACAGGCTCAGGGGGCTTGTTCAGGGAGCAAGCTTTCAAGTAGTGAGCTGCCTAATTGCTTCGTTCTATATAAGTCACCATAATACTCCCTATCCCTTCAAGGCAAAGCATCTCTCGATACTATCAGCGTTGTTACCCCACCAATGAACCATCTTGGTCCCGGTTGTCCCGAAGAAGATAAAGATAAACAATAGATTCGCGTTAAACCCAGTGTCCAATGCCGCACCACTGATATAAGCCCACTTATTCCAGAAAACCCTCCTATAACGATAGAGAAAGAAGTTGGTAAAAGTGCCGACGAGAAAGGTTGTAAAAGGCCCGGTACTGAGATTACCATAGAAAACTGCTGCTGATGCAAAGAATATAGTCGTATTCCACAGATCGAAACGAGCGCGAGGGAATTTCTTGTGCAATAACCACATCACACCGGGAGCAAGTGCGCCTGCAAGAAAGCCCCAGAGGATGGGTCTGAAGAAGGCCGAAGCGAAGAGCTTACGAGGCCCAACGAGAGCATACTGGATGCCGGCTGTGTTGTACGATTGGAAATCTTGACCGGTCCACTGGCCGAGGGGGTCTTTCTCCTTGCCGCTGACATAGTCGAATTTGGTGGCGATGACCCAGCGCATAACGCCATAGTTTACTGGCAGTGCGAGCATGTTGGCAATAATCTGGATTCCAATGACTTGGCGTGGAGGTAGGTGAAGGTAATGCCCAATCTGGAATTAATAATCAGTCTTCTATCACATGAATGACATTGTCGATAATCAAACCTTTTGATCTTCTAGAACAGTACGAGCATCGTACCACACATTTCCAGAGATAATTCGATAAGCAAGTTGGCCCAATGGGTGCCGTGATGAGCCCTTCGCATCGATCATATCTGTAGAAGTAGTCCAGTCAGTTGGAATAGGAATGGGACATAAGCTCACATCAACTTACATCCATAAACAAGCTCGTTGAAGTATCCAACCTTTATGGAGAAGCCCGACATCGCATATACGAAGCTCATCGGTAACATCGATACTGCACCGAAACCCAATGCCACAAAGTACGTCCAGATAGGCATGTAGACTGTCTTGGAAACAACAACACCCAGAAGCATTAGGAATGGTATCAGAGTAAGCGCAGCCCATTCCCTGCCATCCTTTTTAGTTATAATCGTAAAGAAGGACGAGAGGATCTTACCACTTCGTCATACCGGGATACCGTTGGATGATGCGACTAAAAATGGTCAATAACAGGATTCCTATATGGGATAGGCACCAGGCGTAAATACCTTAATCTATCCTGGTGATAAGATCCTGCCTGCTTTCTGGCCTTCCACATTCGGTATATCTTTGGGCCTAGAAACAGACCGCACCAAGCAAAAGACGACATATACGAGGCTACCCACTGCGATAATGTCAGTAAAAGAAGGGGTGTAACAATGCGGAATTCTTACCATGAACATCTGCCACGTATACTGAGCTCCAGAGTAGGCAAGGCCTACTTCATCGTATTTCGTCTCGTTAAAGTGTTGCATGCCGTTGGAATCGAGGTAGACTTGAAAATAATCAGCATATTCCCGAAATGTCATAGCAAGATACCCACTTAGATCATTGAACGGATAGGTTGTCCCATTCTTCATGAATACCCCATTGGACATGATGTTAAAAGTCGGTGACCCCCAAAGGTTCCCGAAATACGCAATAGGAATCAGAATCCAACACTGGAACAGATCAGAGGACAACCTTTTGACACAGACCTTTTAACTTACTGTCAAGACAAACGCCAAGAAGATAATCACTTGTACACTGTAGGGATACGTGATAACCACCGAAGTGATGTTGGACCAATCAAGGGTTATGTTTAGCAATCCCATGCCACCGCGCCCAGCTCCGATGAAGTTGACAGTGTGGTTGCGACTAGCAAACCAGCAGAGGGGAGCCAGAGATGCCACAAAGGGAAAGAGGTATTCCGGTAGGAATTGCCAAACAAATGTAGCGAGGAGTAATATCCAAAATACCTGACAATATTCAATTAGCTGTTTCAAAGGATTGTAATCATGACTGAGAGGATACATACCTTAACCTGCTCCCGCGCTCTTTTCTGGTCAGGTCTGTTTTTGGCATCCATGCTTCGGTATAGAGTCACTTGTTGCAAGGACAGAGGAAATATGAATTCGGGATCATCGATCAAGACTCCGCGAACTAGACAGGTCAATTTTTATTCAGTAACAGATACCAAAAGTACTTACCCATTGCAGCAAATGCAAAACCAAGCAAGGAACAACCCTGTCTGAAATTAGCGTGTTACTTTAGTCCGTCGAGGAATGAGCCTACCCATCCAAAGAATAAGGCAACTGCTGGGTTCATAGTGATATTATAGTACAAGGCAGCATTTGTAGGCAGAAAGGCTTTTGAGATCAGTAATTCTGGCATATCAAGATAGATTGGATCCCTTACTAGCCCATTGACCCTGGCTTCCAGCATTGGCGGCAATGCCAACAATTGCGTGCTCCTTGTTCGACCAAGGGCCCGGGTTTAAAGAGAACGAAAATCTTCCCAACGGCACCCTATAGGCAGGTAGTACACGTGCCATGAACCGACCGAGGGGGTCAGACGCTAGAATGACAAAGAATACTGGAAACGGAGCGTATGTCGTTCGAAAGCTAGTAGGTTGTAAGCTGAACCGTTTGCTGCCAATCTGTGCCAACGAAACTCACTAAGATAATTGAGAAACAATACTGCCGATTGCGCAAAATAGTGCTGATAGAAGAATCGAGCGGAAGGTCAAGACTGGAAGTTCTGGGTCGTCCTCGAAACCAACGACCGTCCGCACTAGCTCGGGTATGTTCTTGAATTCAGCGGAATCAAAGTCATATTGCGACTCGTCGAAAGAGTCAACTTCCTCTTTATTAATTGAGGCGAGATTTTTGATCTCTATGGGCTGAACAGTCTCAGTAGGGAGCTCCTTTGCTTCTTTTCCTGTCATGTTGGCTTGAGAATTGGTCTCTGAAAGGATGCAGCTGCTGAGGTCAATCGTTTCCTACTTAAGTCTTACTCGTCCGGGTATTTCCAAGGCTTCGGTAATGAATAGAAATTGTGCAATGCTTGGCCCAGATTAGAACAACATTAGAGAGGGTCGTAGATAGGAAACCATCCGCTCTGTACATAAGATGGTCTTCTAGCTAGGTGAAGCGCATCCACCTTTTCCGGGGGTTTACCCGAACAGGAAAGATGTGCCATAACGGACATTTATAAGCCGTTCGCGATAATTTACGAGCATTTTGTAACCTAGGGACAAATACAGCCAATATTTTGACTGCTAGACAGGGCTGGGGGATTTCACAATGACAAATGGACAGGTAGGGCGGAAGATAGCAGATCCTTTCAATCTAAGTTTGGAGAGTTTTATGCTTGGCTCTTCTTGGCCATCTCTATCTATCAGGCTTTACCTATCACTGTCGTTCTGATTGTAGATGGTGGATATGGCATAAGAATGGGGTCAAAGTTGCAATGAGGGGAAGCCGAGTTCGGCCTCGCAAGAGCTGATCAAAGGTACCTACTTCACTCCGCACTTTATCTTAGGCTTCATCCTTCATCATAATGATATAGGATTTATGAGTTGCTAATGTTCCAAACTTTACCCACTCTATTCATAAGACAAGGTATCTTCTTTAAATACACAAAAATATAATATTCGGTGTCAACGAGAGAAAAGCGCCAAGGATGTTAAAGCGGAAAATAGTTGAGACCATATATGATATGATAACGCCATGGCTAGAGGATATTAGCTGCTTCATATCGACTTCGAGAGAGGAGAAAGCTGCCTCGACATCGAAACCGGCTTAGCATGAAATCCATGCATGTCGTAAGCTGTTGGTGATATGTCATCATCGAGTACATTGTAAAAGTTGCTCATTTTACTTCGCAGCGTTTCCCCTCTTTAAAAGGCCCCTTTTAGTCAAAGTCTTGTGATTTCGCTCTTCTTTTTCATTATCTATCTATCAATTGACATCGTGAAAGTGGGCTGATCCCGGAAATTCACGTAAAAACATGGGGTGCCTCCGCTTGATGGTCCTGGCAAATGCCCTTACTGGTGCTTCGGCTTTCGTGCTGCCCTTTATTGGCCAGACCTCTATGACAGCTGGGAATCCGGGTTCTGATTTCATATGCGATCTACCCCCTATTCTTGATCCGGCCAATGATGGGTTGCCGTCGGCAGTGAGCTTGTTCTCGTCAGATGAGGCGTTGAAAAGACAGGTACAACGTCATCAGGCCATTGTGCAGGTTCCGTCGGTTTCCTACGACGATCTAGGCGAAATCGGCGAGGATGAGCGATGGCTTCCGTTTCACAAGCTTTTCCCTGTTCTTCAAAAGTCGTATCCCACAGTGTAAGCTAGAAGTCCATCATGGAAACTGTCCTCACAGCTGATCACTTCAAGTCATAAGCGTGGAAAGCTAGAGAAAATCAATACTTTCGGGCTGCTTTACACATTTGAAGGCTCGGATCCAACTCTGAAGCCAACCCTCCTTACCGCCCATCAGGATGTAGTTCCCGTGGCTGATGCATCCACATGGACTTATCCACCTTTTGAAGCCCATTTTGATGGCGAATATATCTGGGGTCGGGGTTCATCCGATGATAAGAACAGTCTCACAGCCATCTTCTCGGCCCTAGAAGGTCTTTTGTCCGAGTCTGATTGGAAACCTAGACGAACTCTCATTTTGGCATTCGGATTTGATGAGGAAGTTGGTCTCAACCAAGGTGCTGCACGGATCAGTGAGGTACTCAAGGAGAGATATGGTGACGACAGTTTTGCTATTATCCTTGACGAGGGCGGTTTAGGCTCGACACCTCTTGATGACAATACCATATATGTCCACCCTGCAATCACTGAAAAGGGCCATTCCAATCTCTTCTTCGAGCTTCATGCCAAGGGGGGCCATAGTTCGGTCCCCTTACCGCATACGGGAATCGGAATTATTTCTGAGATTGTTGTTGCGCTCGAGGCTAATCCGTACCAGCCTCAAATCATCAAGGACAGCCCCATTCACAAACGTCTGATCTGTCAAGCGCGATATTCTCCCAACACCCAGCCCAAGATCGAAGAGCTACTGCGAAACAATGACTTTGATGGACTTGCTGTTCAATTCGCCAGCACTAGCCCGTTGAACCGGTTCGTTGTTCAAACCTCACAGGCTATCGATCTAATCAAAGGCGGGGTGAAAATCAATGCCATGCCGGAGGTCGTTACCCTGGCTGTCAACTATCGCGTTGCACACCATGAAAAGCCGGTACAGGTTCAACACAAGGCTGTTCAAGTGATTGCGGATGTAGTTGAGAAGTATGGTCTCCAGGTGGATGCATTCAAAGGCGACAAAGAATATCAGGATTATGTTGCAGAGCTTTCTCCCAGTGATATGCTACATCACAGTGATCTAAAGCGCCGTGATGAAGTTGACTACAATGGCACTCTTGTCATCAGAGCCACAAAAGCCGAAGCTGCACCGGTGTCTCCTGTTAGTGGTCCTGTTTGGGATGTTTTCTCGGGTACAATTCGACACGTCTTTGCAACAGAAGATAAGACTATCGTTCCAGTCGGAGACGTCATGACTGGTAATACCGATACTAGGCATTATCTCAGTAAGTTTCACTCTGGGTAGCCACATATCATACAAACTGACGGTATCATCAGGCCTTTCCCGCAATGTGTTTAGGTGGACCCCATCGATCAGCCGGGGACTGGACAATATTCACACTGTCGATGAGCATGTGAGTATCTTTGACCACTTGAGCGCCGTTAAGTTCTACTATGACTTCATTCGCAACTTCGACATTGCGGATGTATAAGGATATGGCAACATTGCTATAAGAAGGAAGCGAGTCGATCAACGTGAAATTCAAGGTGCTCAGCGATAACGGAAGGTCGCAATGACACTGGAATTGGGAAGACGACTCATCTTAGAGCACCCAACTGGGCAAGGTGAAAAGGGAGGGGACTTTCAAGGTTAATTTAGTTTCTTCTAGAGCCCTTTAGCGCCACAACATGGCCAATAAGATATTCCTTCCTCGAGTGGAATACTGTTTGTTGCATCCTCGGGAGAATTAATATTGGAGTCTGTGCGTGCATTCTTTAATCAAGGATATTAATAGTAGGACGTTGCTATCTATGTGACGCACGGCATGGATTCATGCATAGGCTAAAGTCCGAGCCCGAGTCATTTGCGTGGCCAATATATATAGCCACTCGGGTAGCCCGATAGCCTGAAGCTGTTGAAAAGCCATCAAGCTATCAAGAAGGCAAATTCGGTGCTGAACCTATATATTAACAATGGCGCACGTGCATGCAACTGCGCAGCCCACTGGAGCAGACGCGGAACAAATGAGATTGCCTTATCTCCTAAACCGAAAGGGACAGTTGGTCGAGATCCGGCCGAAAGGTAATTGGCATTTTGAATTCGCGTGTGATGTCAACACTATCCCCAGGGGAGATGGATGGGCTAACAGAAATTCATTGGAGCAGGCTCGCTCCTCATCATGACAGGTCCAAATGCAACGGAGACTCGAAGGAGACAGCACGCTGACGCACAAAAGTCTCAACGGGATCGGATGAAAGTAGCTCTGGGTCAAATAGAGCGGATAATGAGGATGGGAGGCGCGGGAACGAAAGGTACCAAGGTATGGAGGCAACTGACACAGCCAATCTCCTGACATGACAGACCAATGTGCTCACTCGAACTTGCTTGGCCAGGCAGAACTGCTTGAGACGGCGGTGGAGTACATCCAATACCTCCAGCGACAGGTCGAGGAACTGAGAGAGCTGGGTCACGGTGGCCACGCGACAACCGAGGTCGATGTCCAGGTGTGCGCCAGATGTCAGGATTAGATTCAGAGCTCAATGTCAATAATTTAATCAGCCGGCCAATAAGAACGTTGGATTTAAGCACGATGTGGTTAATATCACGATGCGAGGCTTATGTAAGGTGCCTACATGGCGTGGGCTCTGTCCTGCCAAGGGCCAAGGCAGATTATGGTGCCAGTCGGAAGAAGGACATTCGCAAAGAGCACCTCGTGTTTCTGAACCATCCAGAGGAATTAGCCCGACGTTTAGCGAGGTCATGGCAGGTAGTCTGAAGCTTTCCACATCGGTGGACACGTTCTCGTATGTCATGGCAGGATTCGTCGGCGGAGGCCCGTCTTGGCAAGTGCACGGACACTGGAGGAGTTTCTTGGCGGCGCGGCGGGCCTGGGCAGCTTGGCATCCTGGATGGTTGCACCACTGCATCTACAGCGCAAGGGCTGCCATCTCCTGGCCTGGATTGGAACTTGCACATATAAAGATCCAATCCGGATCATCCTGCTAATTTCCTTTTTATCTCGTCAGCCCCCAGAGTCCTTCTAGAACCCTTCAGAAAGGACAAGCTGTTGCTTTCTGCCAACCGTCAAGATGGTTCTTCAGCAGTATGATTACATCTTCGCCATTGGCACGATATTCGCGTTCCTCGATGCATGGAACATCGGCGCCAATGATTGCGCCAACTCCTGGTCGACGTCTGTTTCGTCGCGTTCGCTAAAGCACTGGCAAGCCATGATCCTCGCATCTATCATGGAGTTTGCCGGAGCGTAAGTTCATGACCTGCTTCCCACTTCCTGACTTTGTACTCACCTATATTTCCAGTGTCGGTGTAGGAAACAGTGTTTCTGATACTATCCGTACCAAGATCGTCAAGATCGATGCCTTCGCCGACAACGCCCCCCTCCTCATGCTTGGAATGTGCTGCGCTGTAGTTGCCTCCTCTCTATATCTTACCTTCTGTACTAAGATCGGTCTTCCTGTTTCGACAACCCACTCCATTCTCGGTGGTATCCTTGGGATGGGTATCGCGCTTATCGGTGCTGATGATATTATCTGGTGGGGAGGTGATATCAACTCCGGTGTTGTCCAGGTGTTCCTTGCCTGGGTGATTGCACCCATCTTATCTGGTGTTGCCGGTGCGCTTATCTTTTTGATCACCAAGTATGGTATCCTACTGCGGAAGAATCCCGCACTCAGGGCGTTATACACCATTCCATTCTACTTCCTTCTGACGACTGGCCTCCTTACTAGTATGTTTCGTCAAATTTCTGATCTCTGTGTATCGGCTACTGATAAAACACAGTGCTCATTGTCTGGAAGGGTGGCAGTAGCAGGATTAACCTCGAGGGGCGTGAGATAGCCGGAACTGTTATTGGTGTTGGTGTTGGCATGGCTCTTATCTCGGCCCTCTTCCTTTGCCCCTGGATCTACCGCAGGGTGATTATGGGTGACTGGCAGCTCAAGCCTTGGGACCTAATCTACGGCCCTCTTCTCTTCCGCCGTGGTGAAGTTCCTGCACCTCCCGACCGTGTTGAGACCGTCCGTAACTACTATCGCGGCCACAAGACCCTAGAGGAACTGGAAGCTGAGCGTTCCACTGATGTGGAAAAGAGCCACAACAGCAACAGCGAGCCTGGTTCCCCCGATCTCAAGGCAGAGCCCCAGGTCACTGCCAACTCGGATAACGGGACGCAAGCCGTGGATCCCGATGTCATTAACATTTGTGGTCCTCGTCCCGAAGGAGCATGGTATAGTGGTCCTGTCCTGTTCTGGCTGCTGAAGAAGGCCCTCCTAAACGGTGTCGAGCAAGACATTGTTAGCGCCCAGAAGAGCGATAGCAAACTCGCTGGCGATCTCGAGAAGACCCATGCCCATGCTGATCACTATGATAACGAAGCGGAGTACATGTTCTCTTTCCTCCAGATTCTGACAGCCTGTACCGCTTCTTTCACCCACGGTGCGAACGATGTCGCAAAGTTGGTTTTCCCATTTCATACCTACTATCAACTCATATACTAACTGTTCCCAGTGCTGTCGGTCCCTATGCAACCATCTATGCTATATGGAGAACTGGTGCCCTTGAAGGCGCTAAGACCGAAGTCCCCATCTGGATCCTGTAAGTTTTATTCCATCAATGTAAGGACGCCCGTGTTAACTCACATTCTCCAGTGTATTTGGTGGTGCCGCTATCTCCATTGGTATCTGGACATACGGTTATCACATCATGCGCAACTTGGGTAACCGTCTTACCCTGCACTCTCCCTCTCGTGGGTTCGCTATGGAGCTCGGTGCTGCCATTGCTGTCATTATTGCCACCAGGCTGAGTATGTCCCTTTTATCTATTCCCAAATCATCACCACGCTAACATGACACTTGCAGAGCTCCCCGTCTCTACCACCCAGTGTATTACGGGCGCTACCGTCGGTGTTGGGCTTTGCAACGGCACTTGGCGAACGATCAACTGGCGGATGGTTGCCTGGATCTACATGGGTTGGATCATCACGCTTCCCTGCGCCGGTATCATCGCCGGTTGTTTGACCGGAATTATCGTGAACGCGCCTCGTTGGGGTATGTCCGGCGTCTGATTTGGCTGGCTTTGGGAGCTTTCCTTGTTTGGTCGCCTTCGCTCCCTGCTGGGTTCTTGTTTTCGCCTCTCTCTATTGTCAGTCCATTATTTAGAATATTTAATTATTTACGGCAGCACATTCTCTTGTTTGGGTGTCAACGCATGATGTGGCGAGTATAAGTGTTTATGACGTCGCGGTCTATACAAACAAAGTTGAACCCCGGAACATATCTAGCAGTGCCATGACCCTCATCCCCTACAACTCTGTATCAGCTACAAACCGGATATTATATCCTACCACAACAATACCGACATCAGCATTCTGTCTGGTCGAACCCAAATTTCGCAATCCAATATTTCTGATCGGGACTTCTAACTGATATCTGTACCTGTCTGTCTATGCAGGAAATGCCGAGCTGAGCTTGCGGCTAAAACTTTATTACTTGTGGCGTCCACTTAAATGAACATGAAATACGAGATGCCGTAACATGACCTACTAAATGAGGTTCTTCTCACTGGATCTTCTGCTACAGATCCGTCTTATGGGTCTAGATGTGACAAAGAAGAGAGTGGCAAGGGAATAATGATGATTTGTTGGAAGCGGGATATCTCATCCAACTTTGCAACCTCTCTAGTCGTTCATATTTTCTGACTAGTGTTGTGGAAGGGTTTCTAGCTCAAGTTCTTCCTGTCTAATAATGATCAATCCATGGAATAGTTTGAGAAAAACAGGTTTTGGTACACTTCGCCGCCGCGCGCTGAGGTGAGGATCACAATACATGTCCTAGATATTTGTCTCATTCGAAGTACATGTTGTGTTATAAAAAGACGCCACTGCACCTGAATGTGAAATATCTTTCAATAGTTTTGAATCTAACATTCACCATGTATCAAGAAGCAATCACCACCGCAGTTGGATTACTGGACAGTATTGCAACCCCTGTCAGTACGATCGCAAACAACCTTGAAGCCAATAGACTGGACAGAAGGGCCTTCCGAAAATACCTTTGGGATTACGCTGATCGCGCCGCGCTTGACGGCGAACTCATCGACGCTGCAAGGCAAAATTTTCGATGCTCCAACCGTGCCCTGTTTCTAGCCCAGGCCCATATGGAGTTGATATGCTGGCTGGCAGATAACAACTATACAATCTCATCAACGTCTGTTAAATGGTACTGCTGGAAGAAGATCCTCGGGAAATACCGCCTGCCCTTACTAGTCTCGTCGCAAACGTCCCGTTTAAAAAACCATCTGCGGGAGATCAAGAAGGCAGCAGATCAATTATATACAGACCTTGAAGACAACATGGTCAGTTCTGTCTCATCGGGCTTTTGGACGTGACCTAATTTCGGAAAGATCGCAATCGTGCCAGATTCTAAATACCGCAAAGTTCGGGGTCCGCCAGTCGAATATCCACCAGAAGGTGAGCATATATTTTCTATGAATAATGAAACCTCTGGTCTCTGACATTTCTCTTATGATAGAAATTGAAAATATTATTCACCAAGGAAGCCTTGCCCACGAGAAATTATCCGAGTGATCAAAGAGCTCGCGGAGCTTCACGGTTAACTTTCTACCCTTGAAGGCTTCACTAGACCATTTGAATCGCAGGAGAGGGCATTTCCACCATTTATGGAAGAGCTATTCAAACCTACCGAGTAAAGATGCAGCTCAGAAACAAGAAGTCGGTGAGGTAAGAATGACTCGGTGACTGATCACCAAGAAGCTTCGATGAGACAGAACTGGTCTTTTCCTCGGAACCACACATCAGTTTCTCTTCGCCTGTTGCCGAAAGGATTATGGACCTAACTGATCTTGACCTTGCCTGTTTCGATGTGGAATGTGCGGTGGAAACGATCGGATCCTCAGCCTACGCCATCCTGTCAATTCTGGCCCGTCTCCAGAGTGCCCCGGATCTGGTCACGGAATATGCAAAGTTCACCAATGTGCCACCAGACATAGCAGAGCTGATTCTCTCCAATGAATACCGCCAGCTTTACGACCGACACACCCGGAGCCTGATCGTTACCATACCGGGCCGACCCCACGATGCCCTCGTGGGTGAGCTCCATCTAGTAATGGCTGTCTCTCTTGCGAATATGCGAAGAACGGAATGGTCGCTCACAACTGCACGGGTAGAAGGAGGCATTTGCGCCAAAGAACCAGATGGATCATGGATTCCCCGAGAACTTCCTCCGGGTCGAAGCGAAAAGTGGCCCACAGTTATTCTGGAAGTCGGAGTCTCTGAGGCTAAAAAGAAACTGCGAGCGGATGCGGACTGGTGGCTGGCGAACTCTGAGGGGCAAGTGCATGTGGTAATCACTATAGCGGTCAGTCGGACTGTGCCTGAGGTCACGTTTGAGACCGTTGTGCTTGAGCAGCCGCCTACATATATCATGGGTCAGCGTCGATATGTGACACAGGTCCGTCAGTCAATTGTGGTCTTCCGGCCACCGGGTGGACCGATTACCGCGGTACCTGATATCTCTCCACTCATCATTACCTTGCAACAGGTGCCGGAGACCGACCCAGTGATTCCTATTCCCTCCCTCGAGAGTATTGCGAGTGCCGCATGGCGTTGGCAAGAACTTTGAGTTTGATTTGTGTTTTTCGTATTTTTATTGTTCTTAATTTTGACCTTTTTCTCTTATATCAATATGACTGGGTGAAAACTCACTATTGTGTGTCTGCCGTTTTGCTGGAGTCCTACGTAGAATGAAGTGATTGTTTATTGCCTGGTGGCGTACTTACCAGGGACCGTGGTCGGTGGAGTCCCCTAATGCATACCCAAAAATGAGACACAATGAGGCGTATGTGGATATCTTTCAGGAGTGGATTATATCCACAGGGGCTACAAGTCCGGGGCGTGAAAGAGGCAACAAAGAAAAGTCTCGAAAACCAAAGGAAAGGTATATTCAATAGCTGAAGATACAAGTGTAAAAAAGAGACGCTAGATCGTAGTCTGTCGTGGAGAAAGGTATAAAACATTAAAGAATAAGAGATGGACACATATAGGTGGAGTATACAGGACTACATCCGTAAGAAGCAACGTCGGAAACCCCGGAATTAATAAATCGACAAGCGCGAAGCTTGTCTTTCACAACCAAAAGCCGCACAAGACGGAAACGTATAGATATTCCGCGTTGAGCTTACGCGAAAGCGCAGGCCAGAGCCAAGAAGGCACCACCAACAGTCCAAATGCTGCCTACCAACTGGCCGGCGGCGTTGTAGGCAGTGGCGGAAGCGGCAGGAGCACTTCCGCTGGCAGCAGCGCTGGTGGACGCGACCACAAGAGGGGTGGAGGAGGCCACAGGGGCAGACGAAATGAGTGCCGAAGAAGGTTTCTTGGTGGTCGAGATGACCAGGGTCGGCGAGGATGTGATCGTCGGGGTGAAGGTGGAGCTCACCTCGGTCGTGCTGGTGCTAATTTCCGAGCTGGTGCTGGTGGGGGTAGGGGTGCTAGTGCTAGTGCTGGTGCTAGTGGGGGTATGGGTCGGGGTGGAGGTCGACGTCGGGGTCGGGGTGGCGGAGATAGTGACTGGCATCCAGTTCAGATCTTCTTGGGCCAGAGTTCCCGACGGGGTCACGGTGCCGGCGGAAGCCTGGCAGGAGGCATAAGTGGTGCCAGCAATGTTGCAGGAAACAGTTCCAAGGCTGGTTTTTGATATCAGAATCCGTTTCTTACGAGGAAAGTCCGTGCCGGTACTTACGTTCCCTGGAGGTCGATGTTCTGCAGCTGCATGGAGGTCGGGGCAGCAATTGCGGTCATGCCCTCGCCGGCAATACCACAGGCCGCAACGGTCTTAGGGCAGGTGATCTTGTAGGTAGTCGCATCTCCATTCTGTGGATGGTCAGTCAAGGTGCTCGGACAAAGAGCGCGTTGATCGCGCAACTGAATCGGTACCCACGGATTCAATAATGCTAGCCTCGAGATCCTGGCCCTTGAAGCCGGGCAGCAGGAGGGTTGCGGTGTTACCGGCGGCAGCGGCGGTAGCGCCAGCCAACAAAGCGACGGTGTAGAAACGCATGTTGGAAATAGATTGGTGGTGAACCGGTGTTTATACTGAAAAATTGGTGATAATCAAGATGTGCACAAAGAATGCGAGTACGATGTACTTGAAGTAGATCAACAATTGCTCAAAACGAAGGACTGGATTTTAACGAAAGACTGTCGGACGACGAAAGAGTGAATGACGGACTGCTTGAGCCTGAAGGTGTGAAAGAGGAAGAAGTGTTAGAGAGAGAGACATTGGGGGTTAGGCGCATAATTGACTTTGGCCATGCAACATAGTGTCGTCGCGACGAGTTTGGCATAGCGGGATTGGCCGACATTGCAGTCCAAGCGGACGCCAACACGAGCCCCAGGGGTTCCCGAGGCCGGTGGTGTTTAGAAAAAGGGGGGCATTTCCGCATTCGACCTTGCAACCTTGAGAAGATCCAACCTTAGACGTCCAAGTGCCTCCGAAGGTTTGCGGTTTAAAATTAGAGGCGTTTTTAGTGCAAAGTTTACTGTGGGACTAGGCTGGTTTGGGACTAGTAGCCGGATTGACCCCTGGTTCAGGCTGCCTCTTTGGGAAGGTTGTTTGATGCTCTTCATATTAACGCGAGACTAGCGGGATGAGATCACCATGAGTTGGGAAACTTCAGGTGTATGGAGGAAGATATTGTATATAAGAAAACTCAACTCCTTTGAAGTAAATAGTATACAAAGTACATGTTTACTGTTCAAAATGCTTATATACTTGTCGCCATTATCTTTTGTAATTTCCCCGTCACTGACTAGTTAGCGTGTACTTACGCCCGATGAAAAAGCCCGTGCCCAATTTCATGAACGCGCAACGCCATGGATGCCGAGTTAATTAATCTTCTGAACCGTTTTTTCATTCAATAGTTTAATTTGTTTTTCTCCGCTGACACTGCAAACCACGTGTACTCTATTGCCAGCCGAGCAATGCCGATAATTCAACCTGGGGCCGTTTTCTCCCTGCTGAGAATGAAATTATATTCACAGCCAGTTCAACAAGATCCTGCACGACCATGACAATTTTATAAAATTAAAAACAAATGAAAGCGAAATTGATCATGTCCTTCCGGGCCAGGAGCCGAAGTGATTGATAGCCCCACACACGATTCCTATGACAAGCAGCACGCCATTGAAGCCCGCCATAATATAGAATGGTGTCCCCGCTGACAGGATGTCAAATAACAGTCCACCCACTTTGGTTAAAAGCAAGATGCCTGCTCCACCATATAGCGAATAGACTCCTGCGATGGAGCCTTTGAGGTGGGACAGATGCTCCAATCTGCGGTTGGCCGACCCGGGAAGAAGAGCCTGGCCTTCATCTGGCTCAGTGTCATTCTCGTCCCCGCGGACACGGCGCTCCTCGTATATTTTTCTCAATGTTTCATTGTCGATGCTGACCCGCAAGATACCGTTACTCAACACAGCCAAGCTGCAGACAATTGCTCCGATCTGGCTGATTCCAAGCAGAGCCATCACAACGAACACACCCGGATTGCCGTCGGGTCTTTCGAACAGAGGGTTTGGGAGCATGGCAAAGATTATATAGCCGATTATTCCCACTAATGCTGCGAAAAGAAGGGGGAAATTGTATCGTCGTGATTTGTCTGTCAGGTACCCAAATGCTGGGGCTGCAATCAATGCCACCAATTGGGACACCCCGGTCAGTATGGATGCGACGATGTATGCACGTGGGCAAGCTTTCTTGATATCCCCTAATCCCGACCCAGGAACCGGTTCACGTTCCTCGTCGCAGAGGCCCGATGCGCGGTAATAGTGATTGACGGCCAGGGGAATGAACAATGATATCCCCACAGAAGAGGCTCGAGCCACGAAGCCTCCGACGTAGCCCAGTCCAATGCTACGGTTTCGGAATCCCAATGTGAGGGCAGTTGTCAACTGCTTCCAGTATGACAATCTTGGGCGATGGATATATATGTCATCGTCATCATCTTCGTCATCGTCCGATTCGTGAGAGGTTTTCCACAGTGCACTCCAACTTTTGCCTTGTTCTCCTGGAAGATCGCGAAGGCCAATGAAGCATACTAGACAGATAATCAGGGATATGGCAGCAACCAGATAATAGCTGCGTTGGATCGCCTGCGATGGCGACAATCCCATCTTCTCAAATCGGGCTGCAAGCGGCAGGAAAACAACCAGTGCCACGAGCGCACCACAGCCAGCACACATACCAACAAACCCGGAGAGTCGCGCAGACGGCGATGCTCTGAAAGCATCAACATCTACGGAATGACCATTCCTGGCACGCTCCGGTGTGATAGTCAATTCTGAAGACATAGATGCGCGATATTTCTGGGCATTAAAGGCTGAGCCAGTGACTGTTGGTAAAACTGCAGTGACCATGGTCGATACCGCTGAGCCACCGATACTAAAGAGCAACCTTCCCAAGAGAAGCTGAGGGTAGACATTCGTAGCTTGCACAAAAACGACTAGCGCAAGTGCTACAATAGCATAGCCTGCCGTACATACCTATCTAGCGTCAATATCATTGAATTATCCTGACAAGGGTCAGTAGCAAGCTTACATGGCGGACTCCGATTCGATCCGAGAGGACACCCCAAAGTGGGCAGGCAACCAGCGCAAGAAGTTCGTCTGCGAATCCTAGAGTTCCGACAGCATCTCCGACTCCATTCTGCAGCCCTATCAGATCTGTTACGACGAAGGAGATGGATGAATTGATGTAAACTAGGAAGGCGATGGAGAAGGGGCACACTGCCAAGAGGTAAGTTAGTGTTTGGCTGCGCGAGGCAGTGAACAATGCCGGTGATGAGGCCATCACCCCCGATAATTCATTTATTATAGGATTCAGAGATGACGATATCTCTCTGTTCGATGCAAATGACGAGGACAACGGTGTCACAATGGTTGCTTCTTCCAAGGGCGGGCAATGTGGGACGTCACATGACGGATATGATCAGATAAACATCGAAGATCGACGGACATGTCCTGACGTTTAAAGTGAGTCTAATAGTTTGAATTCAACAAAACATATTAGACTATACATGATTACCAAATATATACTCCACCATAGCGAAATCGAATCTATTCATGTGTTAAGTAAAGGTATGTATAGATCTGGGTGGCAGCACGTGCTGGTAGCTGACGTAAGATGCGGAGAGGCGCCCACGGGTTATTCTGGAAAGCTGTCCAGATCAAGCTACTACTCCTCCCAAGTAAACGGCATTCACTTCGTTTCTCCGCCAAATGCTACCTTGAGACGCCCACCTTTTTTATCCTTCCTTTGGTCCACGACCTTCGGCTTGTCCGATCCAGTCGATAGCCATGAGACTGGCCGCTTATGCTGGGGTAAGTACTGCAGCTGATGGGGAAGATAACCCGCTAACATTGGAACCCGTTCACAGGCCTCAGTGGTCCTAGCCGCTGGTGTGTTTCTAAAAGCTCTCCATCAGAGGTCCAATTTCTATTCGGCATGCGTCTATCTCTCTCAGAGTAGTGCGAATCTTATGGTGAGTTGTCCAGTTTGGGTTATCGCGCTTGGCCATAGTCCCTAACCCATTACCACATCTCCAGATCCTCACGAATTTATGCCTTCTCGTCACCGGCTTTATCTTATTCTGGCTCCAGCGACTTCTCTACGGACGCTTGCGACCAATCGAGACCGAACAACTATACGAGCGGGCCTGGTTCGCCGTCACAGAGACATGTCTGGCTATGACCATCTTCCGAGGCGAACTTGGAGGCTGGTTTCTGGTCATGTTCATTTCGCTGCTGGTCGGTAAGGTCTGGGGATGGATTGGCGAAGGCCGCGTTGAGTTCCTAGAGCAACAGCCGCCGGCTAATCCCCGGTTGTTCCATACTCGACTGGCGCTATCTCTCGTGCTGACGGTGTCGTTCAACTTCTTTATGTTACGGTACTGTGTGCACACTGTAATCACGCAGGCACGGCCGGATATGATGGTGATGTTTGGATTCGAATTCGCCATCTTGCTAATCCTCTCGACCTCCACCCTCCTGCGATACGTTATCGCGTTAACCGAAATATCCATAACCCGCCAGCAAATAAAGGCCAAGATCCAGGAACGTAGGGATGAGATCCGTGTTGCGCGAGTCGAAGCAATTCGAGAACATGCCCGCGCGGGAGCTACCTCCCCTCCTGACAATCTGCCCGACGAAAACGATGTCAATGAGTTGGAGATCGACGTGCCCGGGTGGGAGGAGAAGGGTCGTTGGGTCTTCTACTTGGATCTTTTGACCGATTTGTTGAAACTCCTGATTTATTTGAGCTTCTTTGGCATTCTGCTCACTTTCTACGGCCTCCCCATCCACATTCTGCGGGACGTTGTTGTGACCATCCGCTCATTTGCGCGTCGAATTATGGACTTCATGCGTTACAGAAACGCGACAAGGGATATGCATCAGAGGTATCCGGATGCAACAGCGGAGGAAATCTCCCGGGAAGATGTCTGTATCATCTGCCGTGAAGAGATGATTCCGGTTCGGCCGGCGCAACCGGGGGCTGATGCGGCTGGAGAGCCTGCACCACAGCGTGTTCCTGACCGTCTACGCCCAAAGAAGCTCCCATGTGGCCATATCCTGCACTTTTCGTGTCTCCGAAGCTGGCTTGAGAGGCAACAAAATTGCCCGACATGCCGACGTCCTGTTATAATGCCACAGCGAACTCAGGGAGCTGCCGGGGTTGCAGACAACAACGCACGCGGAGGTCAGAATGGTGGTATTCGGCCAGGCCAACAAGGTGCGGATGCACAACCACGTGCTCGGGTCTATCAGTTTGGACCCTTCCGCATCGGCTTTGGAGCTGTGCGTGGAGATTTATTCAACAATCTTCACCAAGGTAATGCGCCGCGGGCAAACCCCCCTGCGAATGCCCCTGGAGGACAAATCGGGTTTGGATTTGGATTCGGGCGCCGTCCCCAAGCCCCCACCCCCGCCCCACAAGCTGCGGCTGGGGGATCTATCGCTGCTGAAATCAATGATCAGTTGCTGCACATCGAGCACCGGCTGAACCAAGAGATTGCCACCCTTCGAGCTGCTACAGAGCATCTAAATCACGTGCGCCAGCTTCGGGGGGAACTAGAGCGGTTGCTTGCTCAAGCAAGGGCTGTTAACCGACCAGCTGCCGGTCAACCTGGTGCCGGCCAACCGGCTCCGCCTCCAAACATAGCCCCGGCATCTTCTTTATTCACAACGAGCCACCAGTATGGCGCAAACCCGGGCACTGATGTTCTAAACCCTGGAGACCCTCGTCTACCGGAAGGGCTCACTCTTCCCCCTGGTTGGACCCTCCTTCCTCTCCAGCGTATGGATAATAGTGCCGGCGGTGTGGAACAAACAGTACAACCTACTCCTACCACTACAGTGACATCCCCGGCTGCTCCAGCCGTGGCTAGCGCTGTAACTTCTCAGGTCTCTCCATTCCCCGTTCCTGCTCAGGATCAAACGAGCGGGAGCGTCGGGATAAATGCGCACGGCACCGTCAATGCTGAAACCCATCCCGTAAATGGGGCCCCTAGTCCACCGGTACTGCAACCAACACCCACTGTCCCCTCAGTGGAACATCGTGCAGAATCCCCGTCTCAGGAATGGACCGACGTTGCTCCTAGAGGGTCCTTTGACGCCAGGCCAGCTTCTATTCCTACTACATGGGGTACCAATGAGGAATCTGCAAGTAGTGCTTCTGCTCAAGCCGAGACTCAACCCGAGTCCACATCCCACGGCAAGCGCCGGACCGCATCAGTTGAGGAAACTCCTGATGAAGAAGCTTGATCCCGGACTCCTTTTGATAATCTCCTCCTTGTGTATTTTTCTCTCTTCGGGTTCTGCCCGGCCCTCTCCATTCCCCGGTTCTTTACACCAGCGTTTCTGCATGGCGTTGTTCGCGAGCAAAAGATCATACCCAGATTTCTTTTCACGATTTTTATACCACGGTTTAATCTCATGGTATTTGCTCTCAATGATTACTTTGGTCAAATGAAGATGTGCATATGCAAGTGAAGATTGGATTAGGAGAGTATAGCGTAGAGAGGTAGATCTACCTTTGGTGTCCACGGCGTAGCCGATTCAAGCCGCGTAGCTGAATTCTTGGAGAGATCGTCATGCTGCTTCCCGTGTTAGATGAATTAATATGACGAATAATATTTTATGACATTTACATTGCTTCATTATGACTGATATTTACCGTATTAATTAGTCAATGGTCTTCTCTTATAACTGTAACTCACTATTCTATATGAAGTTCCCTATGCTATAAATCGCATTGAAAGAAGCTTCGTCATGACGGCACGACCTCGACTCCACTTGCGTCTGATTTGCCCAGAGCCCAGCAGCCTCCCCGGCCAGGGTGACCCCAGTCCCTTGAATCTAGATCGGGTCACTTTTCCTCCACCTCCTTACAATCTCGGGGCAATGTTACACTAAGCTATGTAAGGCATTGTTTCCCATCTGCTCCATTCCAAGCTTTCTGCATTCCGTACCTCGCGATCTCCATCCTCTCACCCTGTGCACGCGACACAGTGGCATACAGTGACATTGCAGCTAACCATCATCTCGTGCAACAGATAATAATCCCGTGCACGCTTCGTCAACCCTCCGTCCATGCTTCTCCCACGGCGAGCGGTCTTCTTTCTCGGCGTCTGCTTTTTCCTCGCCTTCTTCCTCACAACCCGAAGCCTCTCACGACCATGGCGTGACGTACCCCAGGTCATCGGCCTGGGCGACCTGGTCTCATCATCCAATACAACAGGAGCCTGGAACACGACCCGCGGCCACACAAGCAAGAACCTCTATGCCCCTCTCCCGGACTTCATCTCGGGCATCCCAAAGCCCTCGGGCTACAATTACTCCAAGGTGATGGTTGTGACCCGAACCAAGGGGGAAGACACCAGCTGGATTGCCGAAGAACTGCCAGATTGGGACCACGCCATCTATGTCGCAGATGACCCCAAAGCACCACTCCACCCGCCCAAGAACAAAGGCCACGAGGTCATGATCTACCTCACCTACATCGTCGACCACTACGACCAGCTCCCAGACGTGGCGGTGTTCATGCACTCGCACCAATTCGCCTGGCACAACGATAACCTCTTTGCCGGAGACGCGGCGCAGCTGCTCCGCCGCCTCAATCTGAACCGTGTCATCCGCGAGGGCTACATGAATACTCGCTGCGGGTTCGGCCCGGGCTGTCCGGCCTGGATGCACCCCGGTGCTCTCGAGGAAGACGAGTCGAAGCAGGAGGAGATCATGCTGGCCCGTGCGTGGGGGGAGCTATTCCCCGACCAGGAGATTCCGTCTGTGCTGGCGCAGCCGTGCTGTGCGCAATTCGCCGTGTCCCGCGATCGCATCCGCTCCATTCCGCGGGCCCGGTTTGTGTTCTATCGCGATTGGCTGCTGTCGACGGATCTGAGTGATTATATCGCTGGTCGAATCTGGGAGTATCTGTGGCAGTTTATCTTCACCGGACAGCCTGTTCTCTGCGTTGAGGAGAATGTGTGTCTGTGTGACGGGTATGGGTTTTGTTTTGGCGGAAACGAGGAGTGGAATAATTACCGAGAAGCCGAAGCGAAGAGGAATGAGATCCAGCAGGAATTGGATAATTGGATGTGGTTGTCCGACATTGGATTTGCTGATGAATCGGATGACTCTGACGGCGAGAAGGGCAATGTCCTCGTCAGCCAACTTCAGGAGAAGCAACAGGAGATTATTGGCCTTCTAACTGCTGCTATGGAGCGTGGCCAGAACCCCCAGTACCGTGCCCAGGAGGCTGGTCGTCCTTGGAAAGAGGGGGATGGGTTCTGAGCTGTCTTGGCTGGATCAAGTGCTGCTTTCTTTGAATCTTCTTCTTTTTATTCTACGATTGCAAAAGTTTATGTGGGCCAATGATCTATATGCCATCTATTTACCATCTCGTCATGACGGAGGCCTGCCCTTGGAACATGTTTTATCATCTGTCAACATCATTACTTCTAATCCACAGGATCATGTGGTCTGCTATAGTCGGACGGTTTTTGATTGTCTTGGACTGATTTCTTGTTTTGGGTGTACTTATGGAGAGTTTCTGTTTTTGCCTTGTGCTTCTTACAAAGGGTGATATCTAAAATTCAAATGCATAGAAATGATTATTAAACACTTCAAATTCGTGTCCATGAGATTCGGTGCTCAAATTCAAGTCAGGTATGTCATGGATTCTGTATAAAATGTTGTTAGGGTCACTTGGAATGGAACCCATAATCACGTGACCCTCGCCGTTTTTCCAGTTTGCACTGTCTGTTGTTTCTTCAAACTGCACAAACATCAACCGTCGCGCGTCTCTTATCAGCCAAACCAAACGAAGCTGTCGCATCACTTCTCCATACTTTTGTTTTGACCTTTTTTTTTACTGTGACGCGCTTCTCGCCCTCTTGGGTGCGGCGCGCTGGGACAACTGTGCTCTAGGAAGCAGTACCTCTAATGGGTGAAGCTTTTTATTACGCTCTACAGCTGGATAAGAGCTTCGACTCGGAAGACGTACCCTTCTAGAGGTAATTCGGGGACCTCGAACTCACTTTGATTTTTCCCTCGAATTCCCTCTCAAGCAAAAGTATCTTGTCGCTCTTTTTACCTCAATCCTTGCACTTTTTGCCTCAATATCCGCTTTCCGACATTATCAGCTTATCGAACCGAGTGTCTCAATCGACACTATGAGCTCCTCTACCAACCAACATCTCCCCACTACCTCCTCCGACCTTCCACCCCAACACACAACAACCGCCCCCCACCTCGACCCGAACGCGCAATTGACCAACAACGGATATGCGCCCAATGACAACCAGCTCGCGGGACTAGTCGAGGCAGCAACAGCTGCCGCAGACCAAGATGTTTCGCAATGGGCTGCCGCCGCCGCAGTCGCCGCCGCAGCCGGCGCAGCTGGCCACCATCACCAGCTGGATTCATACACAGACATGGATCTCTCTGGGAACGGGTTCGGCGACGCGAACTTCGGGGCTGGCATGAGCAGCGGAAGACACATGCGAGCACCTAGTCACACCGAACATCCCCAATCCTCGGGGCTCACACGAACCGCGACCAAAAAGCGCAAGCGAAATCAGGATGATGATAACCTCGACCCCGCCTTGGCTGGCGAGGGTCTCTCTGACACGCAGCATCAGTCGCATCCCGCGCAGCAAGCGCCCAATGACTATACCGGAGAAGAGCATCAGTCGCATTCCGCACAGCAAGCGCCCAATGACTATACCGGAGAAGAGATAGACATTCGGCCTGAGCAGCAGCAGTCTCTATCGGATGCTCGTGCGGTGGGTATTCATTCTGCGGCGGCGCTGTTCCGCCAGCCCTCTAGCAATAAGAAGTACACACGGCCTCCCATCTCAAAGTTGTACGCCTCCCTTGGGATCTCACCGGAGAACTTTATACATCTCCAGTCTGCTGCTAAACATTACATGCTGGACGATGAACACCCTGAAAGACAGGATTGTGTTGGTCAGCGAGGAAGGGGAGATTCAGAAATGGTCAAGCTACGCCTTTGGAACTGTGTTCGCCAGTTCCTTGATGCTGAGGGATATGGTGAACGTTTTTTTGGCGAGGATGCCGTTAATGATGGCGTGGGGACGAGAATTCACACTTGGCCGCGTGACCAAAACAAGATCATCTCATTGATCACTCCTTTGCTCAGACGGATGGTCACCAACGAAAGGCAACGCCGATACGCGATTGAGACGCGCAAGGGAGGTGGTGCTGAAGCACGCCGTCGCCGTAAAACGGAAGAGTTGTCGGCGAATAGTCCGGAATTTTCTCCCGAGCAGCAGCATCTACAAATGCAGAATCAGCCATCCCATCGCGATGATCTGTCGCAGTCAATGGCTCCCCCACCGCCGATGCAGCAATCCGCAATGGATTCGTCCCAGCCTATGGACCTCGGTCTGACCGACCTCCTCCTAGACGGATACACAGGTGACTGGGAAGAGATCGCCCGCTGCTATAATACGTACAACGAGAACTTTGAGCTTGATAACCTGTGGTCTCTCTCCGGTCTCCAGCAACCCGATTGGCGCGGGCTCGTCGCCGCAGTTGACAGCCATTACCACGTCGTCCACAACGGGAACTACGACTGCCCATCGATTTGCGAAGATGCGAACATCAACCGCATTGTCCACGCGGACACCACCTCAGATCTCCAATGGCGCATTGGCGGAGGCCGCAACCTCCCAGCCCGAGTTGAATTGTAATCGATCCAACCTTTCCAAACACATTTGCAATTCCCACTAACAAACCCATAGCGCGAGTAGTATCACCCGTGACGTGTCTCGCATCATCCGCGAGAACATCGCCGCCCGACACGGCCTCCCAACCGAAGCACCCGACCCACACTTCCATCAACCATTCACCTCTCTGCCCGAGTCAACTCCGGCCAACACAACGGACTCCTCTCACGGCCACAGCCAAACTTCTATTCGCGTCAATATCTTGCAAAACGGAAAGCGCATCCTCCCCAGATTTGAACTGCCCGCAGGCCAGTGCTCCAACATCGACATGGTCAAGCAGGCAATTCTCCGTCGGTATTCGAGCCAAATCCCCGGTTTGACGGAATTCCAGGCCGTGAATGCTGCTACGCAAGAAGCTCGCGAGTCTACCATTGTGGATGGGTGGAAGGTCAAGGTTTGGTTGCCGGATGGCCTGCTACATGTGCAGAATCAGAAGGACTGGGCCATTGCGGTGCTCACTACTGATGCTGTTGACTGGATGGATGGGGAGCTCAAGGTTCTTGTTGAGGTTGGTGAAGGGGATGGGCAGTAGTTCGGTTTTGTGACGTTTCTTTTTCTTTTCTTTTTCTGTTCTGATATCCCTGTTGTTTTCCTGTTGGATGAGATGTATCATTATACCCCCAATTTTCGAAAAGCCCAATGAACATGTACGATTAATGTATCCTCGGTGCACATAACCTTTAACGTTCCCGGGTTGCATGGAAGAAGAGGTGGAGCAGACATTTAAAGTGGGGCCGGGCCGTGCTAGTCCCGTACTAGTCCTAATTTGGAACAATATGTTCCCTTTACATTAACATCAAGGCAGATATTCCAAAGCCTCGCCCAGGTAGCCTTGCGGGAACCGCATAAGCCACTGTGCCCGTAATTGTTCCGTTTTGGCGGGGCAGTTACAGTGCAGAGATGATCAGATGCCTGTGGTTCAACCCTCACCTTTGAACTTGATCAACTTAATTGTGAGACTGAGACTTCATGGCTTCTTCCCATGGTCAGGGTTGCATGTAAGTCATTGGCCGGAATGTGACCGCCATCCATACCCCGTCGGCAGCTGAGTGACCCAGGTTGTAGAGGTGCTCCTTTGGGGCCTTTTTTTTGTCTTTTTGAGGTTTCTTTTGAGGCTCTTTTTGGTCTATCTTCATTTGTTGATGGAGGAGTGGTGGTTGGGTATGCGGTCACATGTACCATCTATGCTCACACTTTTTGGTTTGTTATGTTGATCTTGTTTATTCTTCTGATACCTTCCTCTCCTATGTCTCTTTTGGGATATGATGAAGCTATTCTTGCTTCTATTGCACGATGCCATTTACCTCCCACATTTCTGCTCCTCCCCTGAATTGAATTTCAACTGCCACCACGATGACCATAGAAATACCAAGCTTCCAGTATGCACTACCTTCCTTAATGAGGAACTGCCTCGTAGGAATATATTCCCAGCTTCCCCCATGATTATTTCGAAAATTCAAAATATATTCAACCTACTATGTCACATCACAACACAATATTAAACAGCCCAGCAAAAGTGAGATGTGTGTTCCAAGGAGTGTCAAGCTTCAAATTTATATGCTCAATCTTGCATTCAAGCAAATTTATTTGAGTCAATTGAGTCTATCCAATTACGAAAATCCCCACAAAGTAAAGCTGAAAAAGCTTATATTTCAAGTCAAAAATGTGTGAAAAAAAAAAGTTCCATGCCTCATAATACAGGATAAAAAGGGGATGATGAGTAGGGCCTGAAGGATGCCTATCTCGAATGCAACTTGCAAAAAACACCAACAAAATGATATCCGGTCTATACGCCATAACACACCAAAAAGCTAAAAGAGCCGGCCCCGCTGAGAGCTCATTTGTTGTGTAGAAGCAGAGTGCGGAGGGAATCCCAATGGTCTGAGTCGCCGTAACTGTTGTTGACATGAATGTTAGCATTGGAAAATAACTCGAACTTTCAAAGTACTCAAACTGAGGCTAATCATATATAGTGGAGGGTAAACATACATATACACCATGCTACTCCGCAGGCTCGACGCCAGCGTCTCCGGGTGCCACCGGAAAATGTACATGACCATCGCCCAGGTCATACCGGCGAAAACGGGGTAAGCATTATTCATGATCTGACTGCGAGCATCGGACGTGATGAGGGAGGAAAGAGGGTGCATTTTTGGTTGGACGGAGAGTTTAGCGAGAGCAAGCATCACACGCGCGAAGACATAAATAACAATCTAGATTCGAGTTAGCTCTGCAGAGAAGGAGTGTATTCGGGAGTCGAGGTTTGAATAGTTCCCACAATCAGGCGCATGTCCAAATTACATACCTGCTTGCTAATACTGCCCGGCTGTCGTCCAAAAACCGCATACCCGCCCAGCAGGCCTGCGAAGAAGCTATCATATCGGCCTTCTTTCCCGGCGCCAGCTGGTATATTCCGGAGCACGATCATGGATGCCTTGTATATGAGGGCAAATGTGGCCAGGTTACGCGCATGCAGGCGGGTTGCTTTCAAAACAAGCTTCGTCTTTTCACGTATCCTGAATAACAAAGCTATCAGTTTCGTTCTGGGGGGTGAGGTCGCGCGTGGGGACGTACGTTCCAGATCTGAACAGAAATATCATTCTAGAAGCAGTCGCAGTCAGTCAGCTATGCCATATACCGGGGTTTTCGGCTGTCCAAGGTCTAACATACACCAGCGCATGCGGAAAGCGAACTTTCGATCCGTAGACGATTCCATTGCGTGCACCCTTCACTAATGACAGTAGCGGTGCGAGTTCGGGCTTTAGAACGAGCGCGTTCAGTTGGGACTGCGGAGGAGAATGTCAATACTGCTGTGTATAGTCGGATACGCTCCGGAACTCACGAGCAATACATCCATGGCGTCTCTGGGCCTCGGTAAAAGGTCGGACTCGTTTCGGGGTGATTATCGGGGCGATGGACAACGAGTAAAGACCAGGAGACTGTCACGGGTCATTAGGAAGAAATAGAGCAAAGATATAGAGGTTTTCCTGCGGCGGGAAATGTTGAGAGAGGGGACGGCACTTTAATCGGTTCCCGCATTGAGAAGGGCCTCGGCATGTGAGAATACAGCCGACGTCATGGTCACGTGGATGTATATAAAATCTTCATTACGGACACACGAGCGAATTTTAAGTCTAGTGTAAACTAATGGTTGGAGGAAATATCTCTATTAGATGTAGAGGTTTTAAAATAACTTTTCATATGCCGTAAGACTGCTCATACAGGCGCAGAAAACGAAATCCCGTCCGGCCCAAACTCCTTAAAGAAATCATGCAAATCGATCTTAGTTTTTCCGTGCCTTCTTGTGAGTCTCCTCCTCCTCCTCATCAGAAGAAACCACATCCACCTCCATCATGTCCGCGGACGGCTCTTCCTCCTCGTCGGACGACTCCATACCAGCCCGACGCTTGAGACCCTTCATCTTACGAGTCTGCAGGTCAGACAGATCCTGCTTGCCGAGGTGAACACGACCAATCTTGTCACCCATAGAGTCCATGATGATGTTCTTCTTAGTTCGGGCTTCATCATTGGGACGCTTGCCCTGCTTCATAGACTCCTTCTGCACCTCAGGAGCGGCCTGGCGTGTGCGACCGACCTTGAAGTCGAACTTGGGACCGACCTCCTGCAACTCAACGCGGGGCAGCTTGTGACCACTGCGCTTAGTGATGACTCTGTACCAACGAATGTGGATAACCGGCGAGAGGCCATCTTGGGGCTCCTCCGCACCAACCATCATCACGTACTGCAGGCCCTCGACATCGACTTGGGTCGTCTCTTCGCCCCTGAACATGTCAAGAAGAGTGCTCTTGAGAATTTTGTGCGCAGTCGATGTAGGATCGTCCCAGGGGCTACCAGAGAACAGCATCATAGGTCGCAGGCCAAGACCCACGTCCATAACAAGTTCGTTGATGGGCGGGATGACCTCGCCATCTCTCGGGGGGAGCAGCAATAGCTCGACGAGATCGAGCAGCTCTGAGTTGTAGATCCGAGCCAATGTAACACAGTTGGGTCGCTTTTTGTTGTGACTTCCGAATGCTACGAGTCCACACTCGTTCTTGTTCGCCAAGAATTCCAGGCTTTCCGAGTTCTCATATGGATGCAAGTTCTCGTTCTTCTTGTGGAAAAGAACGTTGTAGGGCTTCGTCAAAGCGTGGAAGGTCTTCAGCACGGTGTCCAGCGTTTGGGGGCATTTCGCTCCGTGGAAAATCAGGGTCTTCTTGGGAGGTTCGATGAGTTGCGGCTCCCGCGATTTCAGGATGCGCGCAGTGCGCGGGTTCTTGGCTTTCCTGTAGGGCAGAGAATTAGACTAGGATCACAATCTAGATAAATTGCCATAACTTACACTTCTCTCAACATTTTGTAGTGAATGATTGGCAGAATGGCTTGCGGTAAAAATATCGAATGAGCGGAAAAGTTTTGGGTTGCTGATGGCTTGGCACTCTTATCGATAAGCCAGGTACAAATATGGTCACGTGATATCGATCTAAATATCAAATCTCGTCTGATTGGCTACTTGCAAACCACAGCACATGAAGTAGATATCTCCTTGAGAAGTCAGATTCAACGGCTGAGATGTATATCTTCGGCAATTTGATATGTGTTTGCTAAAATTATATTTTACAGTGTATATATATCACCTTCCCTCCTACATATTTGTTGCACGAAGTTCTACGGAGTATATGCTAATACGATACACACTTGAGCTTTGAGGTTTATACTGCAGCCATATAGGCCATTCCATTCCTATTTGAAGCAACAAAAGACAAAAACATACAACAGTGAGGATTCGCTGGTGGTCACCCACCCAACTACTAACTCACCGGCGTGTGGCTTGAGTACGGCTGAGCGGACGGGAAGCCCTATTTTCCACACCCTATGGTCGTATGTATCTGATACTGCATTGGAGGGAAACATCTAATAGCTGAGAACTATAGACTACCGTTGGTAGAATGGTAAGACGGCTTATATCTCATCGTCAACATCAGGTCAGGTGACCTCTACCCCTAGATGGTCATAGCGTCAGATATCCCATGTCTCGTTAAGCTTCATTTCCAAAAAGTTTTCATAGACTTCCACAATGGGGCCTAAGATAAACATGCTATTTATTGCTATACTAAATAAACAAAAACAAAAACATACAACAGTGAGGATTCGCTGGTGGTCACCCACCCAACTACTAACTCACCGGCGTGTGGCTTAAGTACGGCTGAGCGGACGGGAAGCCCTGTTTTCCACACCCTATGGTCGTATGTACCTGATTGGCAACAGAGGGGAAGATAGTGCAACTGAAGATTATGAACTATAGCCGTGGTGGGATGGCAAGACGGTTTATTTCTTATTGTCACCATTGGGTCAGGTGACCTTTGGCCCTAGTATAGTAAAGAGGGGACCCTGCCACGGGGACAGGACAGCCCTGCGTGCAAAACAGGTGTGAGAGTAGAGTCGTCACTGGGAGTATTAGGGTGCTAGAGAGTAGAACACCATAGGGTACTGAGAATGAAAAGGTGGAAAGGTGTCTGCGTTACTATCTATGCCTCCGGAGTGCTTTTATAGTTATCACATGACTGCTTAGTCATCCTACTCTGGAGACCCCTGCAATATTAGGAATAGTTGATAATCTGGTTCGAAGGCATAGGATTCTGACAGGTATCAATTCGCCCAGCTCGCTTGGGACTTAAGCTATGAAGTGGCCTTCCTGCTAGGTAGTGTTAATCCCGTCTTGGAAAGCTTTTGGACCTGAACCAAACCGGCACCCATGGATGATGTTGACTGATTTACTGTCATTCCCCGATTCAAGGGACATGATAAATCGGAAGACGGATTCCACATGAACACTTCCAAAACAATATAGCCATAATGGAATAACCCTTGGCCAGCTGGGTTTTTGGACAACCCCATCTTGCGGCTGAATATCATGTAAGCCTAGATCAGCGTGACAACGCTGACCGACTCAACTAGCCAGCTCAGCAGGTCTCCGGCCAACTCAAAACTCGGCCATGTCATCAGATCTGTCCATTGCCATGACAGGTCCGGCCATCTGGACAAAAGAAGTGAGTTCTATCTGACCACAACCCTTTGCTACCAGAAATCATCTCGCTTGGCGATATGTCCGACCAAGGTGGGGTTCTTGGCGCTTTTGGTGCGGTGCTTGGTTATATCGGAGCAGAGGCAGCCACCGAAATCTGGTTTTCGTCCTTATTATGGCCCCAGCGATCATTCTCCCACGTCACACTTCGATCCATCCCAACCCTGGCTCTTCTGATGCCCATGGGGGGTCCTTTGCACAAAGCCGCTCTGAGCACCTTCGATATCGCCAACGCCCGAGGTCTCTTGAAGGGCGCCCACGAAGGCCACATGCTGGGCACTTCATTCTTTGAGCAAACAGACTGGACCTACACCATTTGCGGTACAGCTACTTCCGAGCCCCGCGCAGCTCGTAACTGCATGTGGGCGCGAGCTCTTCATTACATGCCTATACCCGCCGAAAAACCTGGATCACTGGCAGGACTATCCCCTCCAGCCACGGACGCTGCCATCGAGAAGGGTATCCTCCCGCCCACCGACAATGGCCGCATCCCCTTACGAGCGAAAGTCGCCGTCTACCACCTCATCTTCACTCCAGCAACGGCAGAAGATAAAGCCTCGCAGATGGCTTTTGTGCGCGAGAACTGCGGCCGACCAGGCTGGCACGTTTACCTCAGCATCTTAATCGCCGAGCTCTCCGGCATCATCCTCTTTGCCGTCGTCTACGCCATCGGCCGATCACTCTGGTGTCTCATTTGGCTAGCCCCGCTGCTGCTCCGCCTCCTGAGCGCCTTTTTCGCCCTCGACCACGAGTCCCTCACCCCTGTCTCATCCTCCACCTCATCGCCATCAACCACGCCGACCACCGAAGCTGAACCACCTCGTGATTTCGTCCTGCAGTTCCCCCAATCTCAGGGCGGCGACCTCATGCTGTTCACAGGTCTCCCAGCCCTCGTGCAGCAGTTCTTCCGACACTACGGCCACCCAGTCCGGAACCGACCCCGGGAGATTCTCCAGCTGAGCATTATAGCGCTTTTCGCTGCTCTATTTCCGCTAGGATTGCTGGCCTCGACTCTCTGGATGCCGCCGCTGGTTCAGTACGCGTGGACCTGTTACCAGATATACATTGTCCTAACGATGCATATCGTCCGCTACACGTCGTTTGGACGGAACACGAGCACGGAATCTAAGATCGCTGATTATCTGGCGGATCGGCCGGCGATTCTTTTTGGGGAGAAGAGACATGGGGCTGAGACGGTGAAAGTTAGTCTTATTGCGACATATCACGCGCGGCATCAGGAGGGGAGGGATTGTTTGGAGCGCTTGGTGAGCCGGTAGTCGTTGGTTTGGCTGGAGTGATGTCTCGAGTGCAACTGAGAATTAGCCTTTTTTTCTTTCTTATATTCGTTCCATCTGCATCAATAAATTTGATCTCGTACAAGCAGAAGCACAGCCAATAGCAGAACAGTGGGTTCGCTTAGCTTTCTGTTATAACCCCGCTTCTGACCTCGTCGCTCGTCTTTACGAATAAACACTACTACCAGCGTCTTGCTATTATCTACACTTGTATTAGACAGAAAATTCAGCATAACAGCATGAGCCCCGATGACTGGGTGCCCGTGCGCAGCCCCGAGAGGGACAAGGGATACCCCCTCGCCACGTTGATGCAGGTGGTCTACGGCGAGGACATGGGCATGGGAGACGGGTACAGCAGGTGTTTCTCGATCATGTATCGACTAGCTCTGGAGCAGGGCGCAGTCGACAGTATAAAAAGCCCCGACGGCACGGTCATCACGGGGTTTAATGATGATCGTGCTGAAAAACTGCGACAACATCTTACCCCGGGGCAGGTACGATCGTTTTACATTCTCTGGAAATGGTGGGCAACATGTTCCCGAATATGTATTGTGGATGAAGCAGAAGCAGAATACGATGATAATGACGACGACCTCTTTGGCGACGACGAGTCTCACTTCTACTCACAAAACCATGTAGAGCGCGAGACGATCCACCAGGCCAGTGGGATCCGGTACAAATTCCGCTTCAACTGCGTTTACAACCAGTGCATGTCAACGCTGTTCAACGCTGAATTCGGGAACTTCGTAATACACCGAAGCGGCAACGAGTTGGTGAGCCTCCGGCGGGACATGGCGCAGGAAGCTGCTTGTCTAACCATTGCGATTGAAGCTTGCTCCCCGCGAAGCCACACCCAACAGCCAGCTCAAGTGCCATACTCCCCAGATGGGGGGAGTTATCTCGCTCACCGGTCGGAGAGTTCCCCGGTCTGGCGCGCAGGGAGACGGGTTCTGGGGAGCAGCGATCTACCTGGGAAGGATCCTCGCTGCAGCGCCGGCTCCAGTATCGACTCCTGCCCCTGGCTGGGAGAGATCTGCGGGTTCCCGCTTTACTTGTGGGATGTGAAAGAGCGGAGGACCGTGGAGGTCCTTTCGCTGTGGGACGAATACGATTTCGAGATCCCATACACAGCCATCAGTCACACCTGGGGCCGGTGGCGGCAGCGTGATCAGCCTGGGGTTGACATGAAACCGCACGTGCCGTGGCTGATCCCTCGGAACTCACTGTTTGATGTCGAGCGACTACCAGATATCCTGGCGCAGATTCCCACGGATACACCCTATATCTGGTTTGATCTGGTGTGCATTCCGCAGGAGGGCTGTGGGGAGGAGCTTGACGAGGAGCTTCGGCAGGCCATGTACATGGAGGTTGCGTGCCAGGCATCCATCTTCAAGAGCGCTAAACACGCCATCGCCTGGTGGAATACCGATTCCGCCCCGGAGTCCTGGGACGGCATGCGCAGCGCTATCCAGTGGATGTCCTCCGTATATCTGGACCTCCAGTTCTCAAGTGGGGACGAGTCTCCCATACGTATCCCGCCGTGGAAAGCGCACGACCAGATCCGGGCCACGGGGCTGTTCTCACTGGACATGACCACCCTGCCCTGGTTCAGCTCCCTGTGGACGCTGCAGGAAGTGTGTCTGCGCCCTGACATCTGGATCTGCAACAAGAACCTCGAACTCCTCACGATAGGCGACAACGGGGCCCTCGTCGCCTTCAACACGCTCGTCTCCCTCGCCGGACGAGTCAAGGACACACTCATTAGGGTACTTAACGATCTAACTACCCCAGCAGACCACCTTCTCGAACGCTGGAAGCCACTTGTTCACCCAGGATACCACGAAGTACTCGACCTCCTCCACCGCACAGGAATGAACAACCTCCACGAGCTCAAGCGCGAGCAGATCCTCTTCTTAGCGACCAGCCGTTACTGTAGCCACAGCCGTGCGCAGGCGATCATGTCCGTCCTCGGCATGACCGAATGGTATACCTCCGCCACTGCCATGCCGGAGCAGCGCCAGCCCAACAAACCGGGCTTCGTCTTCGACCAGTACCCACTCGCCTTCGTGCAGGAGGTCGCGCGCAATCTGGGCTCTAGCTTCTTCATCACCGCCGTTCTGGCGGATTACCCGTCCGTCGACGATGTGAAAACTCAGGACACAGTCCGGGGCACTATGCTCCCCTTCCGGGCCCGGATCTCCGAGGCGCGACGCCTGTATGTGCCGCGCTTGGAGATGGCGGACCATCCGTCCGTATCGACGTGGGAGGTTCGCGGCGACGGGGCGGTGTTCCTACCGGAGGTAGAGATCCTCTTCTCATCCGATAGCGACTATGGCGATATCAAGCACATGACATGCTTTGTCGATTTGAGTCTGTCGGTGCCTGAACATATTGTTGAACGGGAGCACTTCCAACCCCAAGGGAGCATGTATCATGGGGATCTCCGGTACTGGATTAAACAGCTCATCCCGGAGATCTACGGAGTGCATGGGACGTACTATGCTATTCATCTCCGGTACCGACCCGGACAATGGCACGGTTTGTTGCTGATGGCCGCTGGTAGTGGGCACTCTTCGCAGCCGGAGAAGATGATCAAAATCGGGAATCTCCATTTGCTGACCTTGGTGGAAGATGGGGAATATCTGCCCAGGCGTAAGCCAGTGAATGTTAACTGGATTGTTTTGTAGATTTGGATCTATCATATTGCACAATCTGTCTCCGTATACGCTCTAGAACAGCCATACGGCTATAAGGTGATACCCAAACCGTCTCTGGCACGGTCGAGAAAAGAGGAAGGTCATCTGTCACGAAATATTAACAAGCACCAAAGATCCAAAATAGCATATTGATTTTAAAATGCGTCGAATTTTTAATTAAGATCAAAACCTTGCCTCTCGCTGTCCGTGGTCATTTTTCGGCTCATATATAATGTGCTCCTGGCTCTCGTTAACACTATCCTGCAGTATTGTTGTCCCCATCCCCAACCCTCTCTTCCTTTCCCTGGTATTTCTGGGCTCACTACCATTCATATTGAGAAGCTCGTGAGATTTATTGCCGGTCGATCCCTTGTCTCGCGAGTTTGCGCTCGAGCCGAATCGGCGAAAAACAGACAATGCCCTTAGAGAAGAAAGAGAGCCTGCGACAAGGCCCAAATTGAACTCAATGGCCATCCAGTATAGTGATGATGCCGAGTCGTCTGTGGGTAATGGTCAGCGTCAGACATACAGCGAGTAAAGAGCCAGATTTGGAAGGAGCGTGCACTCACAGGTCAGATCCGTAGTGCCATGGCGCAGATAATCCAATGTGCTGAAGCGAACAACGGGGGAGATACAGGCGATTATACCTGCAGTCAGAGTTAGCATTTACCGGCCCAGATATAACGGGGTGTGTGCGAACCTGATCCGAAGATTGCCATCAAAGCGATGATTTTCCGTGTGGGCATCTGTAGTCCGCATAGAATAACCAGTGGCGCAATCAGGATGATGACATCGCAAACGAAGATAAGAACGGCCTGGTATAATGTGATCTGAAAGAGTTTGTACTGCGAGTAGCATTTCGGATTCGCGACTGTTAAGTCATAGGCACCCCTACTCTTGTTAGTATGTCTTTCAGATATCCTGAGAGGGGATTCCTTTACCTTACAGGGTCACATTGGAAGGCTAGAACGAATGAACCCGAGACCGAGAACAAGACTTGGAAGACAATCATGCCTATAGTGAGAGCATTCATCCAGCCTGGACGTGGAGTCAGCACCAGGTCATCCTAGCTTGGATTTTGTGTAATGAAAGACTCACGTTTGATGAAGATCCGTCGTAGAAATAGCAGCAAGCTGACTTTGACAGACAAGGAGGCGTAGAGGTACAGGCACATTGCCACATAATAAAGCTATTACCCAGGTTAACATGTTTGGGAGCGAATGATTTGTTTGAATCATACCTTGAGCCAGATTGCTCGATTTTCAGCAGACACCTTGTTAAAATGTATTCCTTCTCCGTAATATACCACAGCAACTCCCAGCCCATTAAAGGCCTGCGTGATAACCTAAGAATTAAGACTGTTAGTCGTCATGGCTGTTGTATAGCTGTAATGGAAGGTTGGACATACCAATGCCACGCAGACAGCGATATCATCCATCCCAAAATTTTTGATGACGAATGCTCTTGTGTAAAGCTAGAGGCAAAATCAGCTCATGCGCCGTACTCTACAGGTTCTCGCGTTTGACGAGCCAGTAGGTCCTTACTCGTAAGCTGCAGACTATCATAGACAGGATTCCCGTGCTAATGATTAGACCGTAGATGAGCGACTGCAGGTGCCGCTCTTCTGCTGTCAAAATTGGCTCGACAGAGGCAGACATGGTAGCTATTAGAAAAGTTGAAGGCCTCTTTGCATATGGGTTCGGTCAACATTTCAAGAGCCAGACGACGCGAATCTGAGTCAAAACCGGGCAAGGCATGTTTTGTGAGCTGGAAAAAAGAGAAAGCCTATATGTGACTGGTTTCTTCCAAACTTCTGGTACTTTTGCGCACTACGGAGCTGTCAGGCTGCATATGCAGATCAATAAATTCTAATTCTATTGTTAACTCATTCTAGACAATAGTCAACTAGTGAGCTGACAATTAACTTTACTTGTGCATCCTGAATAATTTCCGACGAACCTTGTCAAGCCTCATTCCTCCAAGTTGAGTATAGCCGTTAGACCGGTGGGATGGAATGTGGGGCCGTGTCTAGATACATCCTAACGGTGAGAATGAGGTATCTGAATAGCTGCATCATAAGTGATTTTGGTCTAAGCCATAGAGTGACGAGTGCACAGAGTAACCATCAGTTAAGGTAGTAACAACAGACTAAGATCAAAAATTCCAGATCATCTACAACAGTGCACCATTTTGCAACGGCCCCCCTTTAATGGAGCGGGTCACTACATGATACGTGAGTAATTGGAGCTAGTCGTTAGCGCTGCTTGTCAGTTTCGGAAGTTCCCGGAAAAATCAAGAGAACAACTGCCTATATGATGTACCTAGAAGCAGAATCCAATGACCAGAGTGCACAATAGGATTGTCTTTAACTCGCAACAAATAATGTACCGGACTAGCGGCGCATTCCCTTACCTTGCACCGGCATATGTATATTCGGAAACCCGGGCTGTGAATATTCATCGCCTTTGCAACCCCACCTGCCCACGTTTACGGGATCAATCTGTTTCACCAAGCACACAATTCGCCTTGGTAAAATCTAGAATTCGTAGTTACCGAATACTACTTTTAGTATAGACGATTGCACGGACCTCTTAGGTGCGCCCATTGAATCTTCTTCTCCACCTTTTGCACAATAACCCTTCGGAATGGGAAATATAAAGGGGTTGTTTACTCCGGACAACCTACATATTATTTATAACTATGCAACTCAAATTCACAAAATATTCCGCCGTAATTATTTGTCACTCCTGCATCTAAGCATCTCTACTCATGGCGTCGTTCGATCAAGACAAAAATCAGTTCAAGGTCCTCATAGCTGGTGGGAGTCTTGTGGGTCTCGGCCTAGCCCTAGCTTTTGAGCGCGCCGGAATCGAATATGAGCTTTTTGAAAGAGGAGACTTTGCAACACAACTGGGCGCCTCTATCGGAATCCATCCGCATACCATAAGAATTCTAGAGCAGCTAGGAGTATGGGAGGATATTGAGAGACAGGTTATACCTCTGCAAGTTCGAAAACATTATGATGGAAACGGCCATTGCTTTGAGGACTCACTTGTTCTAGTCGACATCAATGAAATGTAGGTCTATATATAGTTTACTACTTGCCGTATTGATTGATGGAAGTGGCCGATGAAAGAAATGTGCTAATACCATGACTTTGTGGGGCATAGTCTTCAACGTCCCATTGTCTTCATGGAGCGATGCAAAGCATTGGAGGTGCTGTACAACCATGTTCAAGACAAATCGAAGCTCCATGCTCGAACTGCTGTCGTTGGGTATGAAGAAACCCCACAGACGGTTATCGTCACCACCGAAGATGGCACGCAGCACCACGGTCACATCCTGATCGGCGCGGACGGAATTCATAGCAAAGTGAGAAAGCTGATGGCCGACAAAATCAGCGTGACTGATCAGGCTCTTGCTAATGAAATCAACGAGGGTTAGTCCAGCCTATCTGTTTTGCTACTCCCAAACCCATTCTAACTGACAGTCTCTGGAATATAGCCTTTACAAGCGAGTACGACTGCATCTTTGCTGTCTCCCGGAACGATGCTGGGAAGCAGTTCCTACCTGATGCGATGGTCCACAACGTGTATTACGATAAATACTCAGCAATTGCAGCTGCTGGTGTGCCTGGGCTTGTTTTTTGGTTTCTTTTTGTCAAGGACTCCAAATGCACGAGAACCCCCAACTGCCCGCGATTCACGGATGAAGACGCAGAGGCAACAATCCTGAAATACGGCAGTTCTCTAGTGGGCCCTGAGTATACCGTGAAAGATCTTTGGGATGCTAGAGTCAAAGGCACAATGGTACCATTGGAGGAAGGTGTCATCAAACAGTGGAGTCACAACCGGGTTGTTCTGATGGGTGACTCAGTTCATAAGGTTTGGGATCTCCCGCCGAACTTCAATCATTTAACTAATTTCTTAATTCGGCAGGCTACAATCAATCCTGGTTTAGGTGGTAACCTGGCTTATGAAGGTATTGCTCGTTTGACCAACGGTCTCGTGCCTTTACTCAAGGACAACCCCATGCCATCCCTTCAGCAGTTGACCGAGGTTTTCAATCAATATATCGCTGGTCAGGAGCCTCGAGCAAAAACGGTCGTTGATCTGTCCGGTCAGATTACGCGCTATGAAGCCCAAGATACCTGGGTTCTCAAATTTGCGGCCCGTCACATCGTTCCCTGGGTTAGTGACAGGATTAAGGCTAAGCTGTATGCTAGTTTCTCGAGGGGAGGGCCTTATTTGGAATATCTTCCATTACCTGCGATGGATGCAGAGCCGGCGAAATCTGCTAAGAAGCACAGTCGTGGCATTTTCCCGAAGCAGATTACAATAGTCATGCTCATTGGCGGCACTGCGGCTATTTTCTGGGATGTACGTAACCAGAACAGGTTGCTGTCGACGTGCTCTGCATTCATCAGACAGTGGACTAAGTCATGATTGTGGCTTTTTAAATTGTTGAGAGCGACGGGGAAGGATCATGCGGGCCATTTGATACCTCTCTGTCAACGCTATCCTATGACAGGCAGCGTCAATTTCAATTCCAGGGATTAACCATTCTATTTGACGGATGTTGTGATTACATATTTCTCTTAGCATCTTAGCCACTGGCAATTCTCATGGATTATTTTGACAGATGCCGTATTTTCAGTCCCCTTTTGATGGAAATTCCAATGAATGCCCTCGTCAAAAAGCAGTCTGGACCCAGTTTGACCCGGTTTTTGCATAAATCAGGGTCTTGGTGTTCACGAACCTGCAAACCAAGCAGGATTATATACATAATTAGAGTGTTTACATTGTTTGTAACCCAATTTGGGGCTCATCCCCTACTTTAAGCTTAAGGTATGTGGTAGGTTCGGCCCGGACCGGCGGGAAGGAACGGATTGAGAGTCGAGACCCACTAATCGTCCCAAGGGCATGATGATCCCTTTACGAGTAAATATGATTAGAGGCCGGAGTCAAAGGAAACTGGTGAGCACAGTTGGGTTGGAAAAATTGCACTGCTCAAGTCAGGACAGCACTTTACTAGAAGTACCTGGCGTGTTACATGACCTGCATCACTCATAATGACATTAGACAATCCCCAACGGCCGATCTATCTCTGTTACAAGAACCGCATAGCTGCCATAAAGAAGTGTCGGAACCACTGAATGCCTATAAAGCCCTCAATATAATTTTGTATTCGGTGGGAGTCCCTCAGCTTGGTCCTCTCTCTACATTCGTCAGTTAACACGCCGAATACTTCTAACATGGGCAGCAACGGAGCCCTTACCAGTAATTCCCCAAGTCCCTCTATGAGCGCAATTTCGTGCTGACAATAGGCCAGCTGTTCAGGTCCAAAGTTGGTGAAGGTTGTTGCGATGCCGAAGTCAATCCAAACCATCCTATCTAGGTTTCCACGAACAAGGAGCATGTTTCTGGGGTAGACGTCTCGGTGCTGAACGCCTATGGCTACCTAGTATCGAAGGCTTCATCAAAGTGCTTCGGGTGGGGGGCGTTGGAACCAAGGAACGCCACTCACGGTAGTAAATAGCGTCTTGGACTGAGATATCAGCGGCTAGAGTGTTTTCTGCTCTGTTAACTCATTCTGCCAGATCTTTCTCAAACACATACACCCTCGATCTCTCTCTTCCTAATACAAATCTCTTGAACAATTATCCATCATGTTTAGACCGCCTCGACTCGACGAAGCGACCATAAGGTCTATCGACTTCAACCGCACCTCCAGTCGCATGCTCCAGGACATGCGCGAAGAGACCTGGGGCTGGGTCGTCTACCGCACAACCTACTGCTCCGAACCCCTTCCACAAAGCAATCGAAATCCTCACTTCGTGGATTAAGGCGGGAGTCTACGAAGATCTCCACGAGTACAGCTTAGAAAACCCGAATCCTACGCCTAACGATCAGCTCTGGGCGCGCCACCGGCTAACCGTGATCAAGGAGCCAGCCGCGCTAGACGAGGGTTCGTTAGACGCAGTGCGGGGGCATTTTGAGGGCCACTTAAGGCGGGTTGGTTGAGGGAAGAGCGTAGCTGGGCGGAAGTAGCCTCGTAAACGGCTTCATGACTATCAGATACATTAACCATCGCCGTCAAGGTTTGAGGAAAGATGTATATGCTGTACATGGAGACCTCTAGTGAGTGGACTTGTTACTAGTGCGACACCGCCATGTTATTTATATATTCAATTCTGTGAATAGAATGAGTATAGTATTTTAGTTTGTCCTAAAGGTGAAGGGTTGGCCGAGGATATAAACTCTGTAAACTCGGAGTTTGCCTAACCGACGATCCTTTCTCGATATTCCAAATGTCTTAAGCCCACTTTCCACACTAGCCAATTTTTTGAGGGCGGAGTTTCACGAAGTGAATGCGACCAAAGAATCAAAAATCTAAATAGTTTGAGGTAAAGGGCATTTCGGCAAAGTATGGGTTTGCCCATGCCTAAAAAATAAAGAAAGCGGAAGTGCAATTTCCGGGGTCCTCTTAGTGAAGATGGGTTTAACGAGATAGCCCTGAACTAGTTAATCGGAAAGTTTTGGCTAAAGTCTGGATTATAAGTGACTTGAACAGATATTGTGAGTAGGAACTAGGTAACGTTGAACACGAAGTTGTTGTTTGTGCGGTAGTCAAGAGCTAAGTCTCTTCGGAAAAATTGCTGGTTCGAGTTGAAAGAAAGTGGCGACCAGAATTTCAGCTGAAATGCGGATATCTTGGAATGATGTGCGGTTTATATCTACGTTATGCACTGCAGAACTCAGCGGATTCGCTCGGGTAGAACGATCACTATCTCCTCGGGAGAGCCGAATGCCGCTAGGACAAACAAACTGTGGGTCGTCCGTCCAATGAATTCATGGTTCACATGCAGCTGTGCCCCTTCTAGATGCTGCAGGCCTCCCAATCAGGTAGTTAGGGGGTGGTTAGGGAATTCTTGCCAAGATCGTCAACACTGCTGATCAAACCTTCTGCCCGTGTAGCACTTTCGTACTCCAGAGTTATTCGAAATCAAATTCGTCGATATCTCAGCAAGTTACAATTTTCATTGATGACGTAGAGAAGGAAGATCAGATCTTTCGTTTAGCTCAGCTGAAAATCTAAGCTGGGAACGGACGCTGGGCCGCCCAGGTCTGTCTATAAGTTAAGCCTTACGCCCCTCTCCCAAATCACAAGACTCAATCTGATTTAATTCAAAGCCCCAAGCCCAAGCCTAATACTCTCAAAATGCCAGTCCAAATCCTGCAAGAGTACGCCAGCTTCTTTCCTCAACTCTCTCCTTATACGACTAACCCTCAATTCTTCTTTTAGCCCTGGTGAAGTTTTCGAAGCAATTCAGAAGAGCCCAAAGTCGGTGGTTGTGCATTACTGGGCTCCTTGGATGGAGCTAGAGTCGCAATTTATGTCTATGTTCTTCGAGGCGGATGAAAATCGTGGGGAGGAGGTTGATTTTGTCATTGTGGATAGTGGATTTATTCATCCCCAGCATAGTCCAGATGAGATGCCCTTGACGGTTCTCTATCAGGGCGGCGATGAGGTAGATCTTGCTCCGTTTGATCTCGAAGAAATCCGAGCACTTATTGAGAGAGCATAAAGAGCTGGAAATTGTGATGATATCATGGGGGTATATTAATTTCCACAGCTTACAGCTGGAATGGTGATTTGATGCTTATTTAATAATGCTATCAAGGCATAGAATGGAAAGACTGTGAGATATGATATGATTGACACAACAAACTATAAAATGGTATATAAATAAGATAGAAATAAAGACTGAAAGTAGATACGAACCACTACTTTTGTGATTCCTTTGACTATCATTCTAGAATCCTTGAACTTTAGAGAAGCCTCCCCTTATTTGGGAAAATATCTTTCATTTTGCAAATCTGTGAGCATCAGTTTTCTGACATCGTTCAATAGGCATCACGTTCACAGCTATCCCAGTTTGTGCTTAGTACAATCGCTCATTGATGCCACGATGGCCGTATCATCAGGTCTTTATCAACCATAGTAGGTGGTCGTTCGTCATATTAATGTATTTCCCAAGCGAACCGTCCGAAGCCGCTGGTTTCCTAGCCTAAAACGAAAGGCACAAAGATGTCATGACTAATCACTTTAATTGAAATAAAAAAGATAAAAAAATACTCCCTGAGCTACGTAAGCGGGATATTGGCATCTTTATTTTCTGGTGTTCGATCTTAGTACAAAGATCGGCCTGCCATGTTGCAGCCAAGTGAGCGTCAATAACTAATCTTCCTCTTCATCCGGACACCGCACCAGTACTCCACTCAGGCTCCTCAACTCCTCGACGGCCTCTTCACCGAGTCTGCATTGTCTACGTTAGATAGTTCTTTCAAAACACGAAGGACAAACTCACTCTGCACCGACAATAATAGGGGGCAAAGATCTGGTGGAAGGATATCCTGAGGTTCCAGTGTATTTGTCCAAAATGCTTGATGTACGTGTCAGCCGCACCATAGCAAACAAGAAATCCCAAGTTGGACTTTCCGCCTACCTATCAACATTTTCTCTCTCATTTTCCCACGAGTCCGGGTCCTCAAACATGATAATTACTGACTATAAGAAAAACAAGCATTGATTAGAATGAAAAGAAACTTTCAGAATTCACGAAAACCCAACCTTTGCCATAGTGTAGTTTTTAAAGAGTCAAGTTTTAGTAGATTGCCAGCGAGGAGTGTAGAAGAAGATTCATTTAAGGGGTAGATTCGGGTATTTATATACCTTTTTTCGAGTATGAGTTATGAGCGCGACATGAGAAATTTCGGTAAGAGGTGTTTGCGTCATTCAAGTTCGAACGCATTCATGCTCTACGTCCAATTACATCACAATCCTACATCCGGGTGCTAATGGCTGGCTGAATTATCGCACACCGATTGTCTTCGGACGTCTACGTACCCGTGATCAGCACGTTAAGAGGCTTGTCTGGCGCTAAGACACGTGCGAGCTGCCCAAAAACACCTGTTGCATTCTGGGACGGTGACATCGTGCCTTCTTGCTTTATGGGTGTCAACAGAAAGCCAGATAGGGATGAAGAAAGGAAAGCACGGAAGGTGCTGTAGCTTTGTAATTGACTCGATCGTTTTGCACCCGAATTTGAGACAATGCGAGACACGATGCTGATCTCTGCCCAATCGTCCCTTTTAATTAGCTTTGCCTTGGGCTTTCCGCCAACCCTTTTGGCATGTAAAGATGGTTATCACCCGGGCCGAGTGATTTGATTAGACTTAAGAGGTCGGCGCCGGGGTCCATATTCGCCACCCAGAATCTGAGCGGGGCGATGTGGGAGGGGGTGGGGGCTCTCCGCAATCCGGAAGATAGCTCAAGTGGGGTCGCTGGTTGCATCTTGATCATCTGGGCAAGAAAAAGGTAACTTATCGGGTTTAGAAGTGCTGCTCAAAACTCTGCCGCAGAAACAGACCAATGGTCGTCTGCCTAGAGCTAAGCATACTGAGAATGGCTTACTGGACTCACATGAATCGAAATTGCTCCTGATTCCTGATTGCGTCACTTTCGCGCGGGAGATGACTGCGGAACCCGGGGTCGCTACTCAGATCGATCATGGTCGTTTCACTGTGCAGAAAGGCGAATACATCGCTTGGTTTTTTTGGCGTAGGATATTCAACAAAGGCCACAAATACAGAGTCACCGCTGATCGCCCCCGCTGCCCAGTCGCAAAGGGTCGCTTTGCAGCACTCAAGCGAACATCGTGTTTTGAACTTGGTGCAGCACAACCGATGCCCACTATCAGGCCGATCCTACTGTAAAGTTAGGAAATTATGCAACATGTTTCTCGCGACACTTGCTGCTGAAGATACACCGTTTTCCCCATTGGATCAGACGGCAACAATATCCGTGTGCTTTCCCATCCTGCCACAATTGTAGTTATTATTGTCCGCGGGCGAAAGAGGATCTGGTCATTGGTGCTCTTCGTCAAGAAAACTTTTCGCCATTGTAAGTTCCGTACTGACCGCGCATACCTAGCCGATGGTGTACTCCTTAGGGTCGGACTTTATGACTGGAGGGCCAATTAAAAATTTTGAGACGATTGAGACACTTAGCAAGAAAATGCCCAGGTCTGCCAAAGCTTTCGATCCATTGACTTCGTGCCCATCTAGCTGAGTAACCACAGAGGCCGCAAGTCTACTGGCCGTAATCTATATAAGACAAAGTTCATGATCTTTGGATCCTAAAAGCAATTCACATTTATACTCAATTCCTACCGACGTTTTGACGGCCAGTCACGATCAGAATCGTGGCCGACTTGGAGTGCTCGTGCGATTGAATTCACCGTCTCCTCACATACAGCCATGTCGTCACCAAACGTCAAAAAAATTATGTTTGTACCATCCTCAATCGCCGCGTTGAAGCATTGCCCAGGCGCTACCTGCCGAAGATTTCGGTCATAATAGGTTGCCTGGTGTGCTCGCACCTGCTTGGCTGCCATTCGCTCCACGGGAGACGGGTCCGATGGTATGCAACTCGGGGGATTTAGGTCAGGGATTCTCCAATGAAGAAGAAAAGTGGCGACGAGATCTCCTTCCCTCGTACTTTCTCCGGCAAATGGAAGACTGGCAAATGTCGGGAGTTTCAGGAATCCAAGGTGGGTGAGAATCACCCTAGATAGCGTGACGCCCGCACTGACCTCCTAGTGACACAGCGTGATATGATTGGATTACAAGTTGAACCTGAAACGTTTCGATCCTTGGCATCTGCACACAGCCCCAAAAGAGATACTAGTATGTCTTCAGTTCGATTAGTTGTTGTGGTTTTGTCGCCCTGTAGACTCGCTACAGCCCTTCTGATTTGCCCATGCTTACACATACATCCCGGTGCAAATATCACATACCACTTAAACTCCACAGGAACTACGCAGGCTACGCAATGGAGAATCACCATACGCCAGAGTGTACACTGCAGACCATCCAAGGAAAACCCTCTTGCGATCATAACACTTGGGGTCTGTGTGGGTCAGGGGTAACCAAAGGCATGCGTTCAAGAAAGAGTGGAAGAGAGTAAGGAGGTGAAACTGATTTCGAGCGCGTATGTACCTTTCATTCAAATGGCTTTCGCTATGGAATTTTTGAATTGCTAAAAGGGGATATTATCGTCATGATGCATCAAATTGGTTGACAAAAGCGAATTGGCTACTGACTTGTGTACTCATTCTATAAGGCCCCGAGAGCATTCACAATGCTATCTCTGAGTTCACCATTTCCCCATCTCAAAACTGCCCAAAGGTAGCGTAAGAGATTCAGAGTGTCGTCTTTCACGGTCGTCCTCCAGGCCCCGATGCAAACCATAGAGAAGTTTTCTTCGCTTAGTCTCTGAAAATGAAGCCACAGTTCATAAATTGGGCCCTCCGTAGTAACAGAAAAGACCATATGAGATATGAGGTTGGGTAAGCTCTCAATTGGCCTAATACTGGCCTGAGAACTTCCTTGACTCTTGCAATCCAAACTTTGAGCAGACTTCAGCTCCGAAAGGTTTCGCAAAATCAGAAGAGCTGTTGAGCCACCTACCGCAGCTTGGTTCTGTGCCTGGTAGAGGTTACCTCCAGTCGAACCAGCCTTTGCCTCGACTATCAAAAATGGGAAACGAAGGCCCAAAGGGGTGACGTGTGGATCGCTGACAAGACTAGTGGTATCTTGCAAGTCTAGTAGAAAGCTTCTAGCGGCACTGCGGCCCTTCTTAGGCTCGAGGTCATTAACCAAGCTCTCATCTGACAACCCAACGCATATATCTGGACGTGGGGTTTTCAATTTGGACACAGGAGTAGCTGGCAACGGGGGCCCTGATCCAGCTGCATGCGAAGAGTGTCTATCGCTGGCGGCGATTTCGAATACAAGGCGATATGACTGACTTCGTTTCCGTGGGATGGTAGGTTGAGGGTTATATACTGGTGGTTTTAGGTCTTCGCGCCAGTCTTGCTAAGAAGTTAGCACTAAAATAGTTCAATTCGGGATTCCTCCACCAGAAATATAATAGCTTGCCTTGATTACGCACAGCCTGTATGTAAGGCTTCCGTCCATTCAGCTTCACCCGATGGTTTCTTGATAAGTTTCTTGGATTTGCTCCACAGCTTTTCGGCCATCTGGTGCAAATGAGCATCGTCCATCAAATCACGAAATATTTTCTTATCTGCATAAGAACAGATATTTGTAGGTATATCGTTATCTACGAAAATATTTGCGCGCCGAAGATAGCCGGCGCGATATTATACATCACTCGGTCGGGACGGACTGCTCGATCGCGATCGTTGAGGAGCGTGTGGAAGGAGGAGGTATGATTGGAACATCCGACAGACTGGCGATCTGTTGAGGAAACATATCAAATAGAGCCAATGGAGAAAGGGGCTGAATAGAATCGTCGTGCTCCTGGAGAGCATCAGAGGTAAGGCTAGCGACCGTACGAACGATCTTTCTATGATTCGGGGGCAGAGGGACTGGGGAGCAAGAGCGTGCCCGCTTCATATAGATTGATCGATGATTCCGCAGGCTTGATTGTGATATGAACGTCGAGTGCTCCTCAGTGGTATGCTAGGGATACCACGGGATGATCTATCAGATAAACATTGCCAAGACAAATAAATCGGCCGTCAGCTGAGCGAATATCAAAATGGGACCGCTAATTCTTGGCCTCTCTTGGCAATCCGGAATATGTATTGCCCGGCTTCCGATCGCCCATCGGATGTCAAAGCGTAGCGAATGTCAAAATCTATTTATCTGATGACTTAAGTATCCCATGTAATTTATTACCCTCCTATACATCCAGATTAAAGAACCTCATTTTTGTTACTTAAGTCGGCACTTCTTAGCTAGAATCCTCGATTAGGCTTGATTTCTTCTTTGTATTCTTGATAGGAAAGGTAGTGCTGGTTTATTCTTAGGTATAGGCAAGTTCTTCCATGTTTTGATCAAAGAACGTTCTTGCAAACAGACATATATAGTAGTGATAATTCAATCGCTGGTTGTTCGTTGATATCGTCCGGTACTCTGATTATAAATGATCTATGCGTCCCCCGGCGGGGGTAGCTCTTTATGAAATCAGCGAGATCTTTCTCTTGGATAACTATTCGAGAGGCCAGGTCATCTTACCATATCTGTAAGGTTCAAAGTGGGACGGATTTATATCGGGTCACCCACCTACTTTTTTTACAGTATGACTTTCTTCCTCGGAAAAAGAGAATCGTAGTGTGTAATTGCATGCCTCAGCCCTTTAGGGACACGTCTTGTCTATTCTCTAATACGCGAGGCCGCGAAGATACTCCTCTGATTTCAATTTGCTGATTTGGTAAGGAGGCAATGCTACACCCACCTCCTTGAATTACTACAATAACAAATATTCCTAGGACGGCAAAACGGTGGATATATGGGCAAGGTGCTACAACCTACTTTCAGACACTTTAGTTATCTCTGACGACAGATTGCGGTGTGTAATTCTCTGGGAGTACCACCTAATCTCAAGTGTTTATTTTAGCCTCTCTATACCTTGATATACGAGATAGGCAGTCTATACACTACATCCATAGATGGCCAAGCCTCAACTTATAGAAAAATAAACTCCATTTTTGATATTCCGAAGTCAGACCTAAGAGACTTTACGAAAGCATAGAAACCAGCTTGCGCATCCTCTCTTTGACATGTGACATAACAAAACTTCCTAGCTCCCTGTGCATAACTGGTCTCTCTTCGTCATCAAGATCTCCATACATATCCTCCAGTGCCCCTCCATTGCTAGCGACTTCCATGTAAAGGGAGCGGTCCTCTTCCTTCTCGCCGATGCATACAAGAAAACTGCCAAGCTTAAGGAGTATCGAGTTCAAGATCAGACGACACGTACGTCCATTGCCGTCGATGAAAGGATGAATATTGATAAAGATGTGAGTATATTTCGAAGCAATGGCGATAGGGTCAATCGTTCCCTTAGCAATGACTTCTCTCATGTCAGACTGGAGTTCGCGGACCATTGCTTTCATTTTGTAAGGCACAAGGCTGTGATGAGGAAACGGATGGAGGCCCGCAGAAACTTCATCCGTACGATAGACACCACTGTATTCTTCCCAGGGAGTGCTTTCAGCGTCGACTTTGTGCGTAAGAATTTTATGAGTCTGGAGGATGATCTCTTCACTAAGATCTTTATCATAAACGCAGAGTTGACTAATCATATACGAGGCAGCCTTGGCATGTTGAACGATTTCACGGCGACTTCGTAAAACTGCGGAGACGTTTGCTGGCATATTCTTGCGTAGAAGCTCTTTTTTTAACTCTAAGAACTCTTCCTCCGTTTCTCCAATGTCCTCTGGTATTTCCTCCCCGCGGAAGATTGCCATGCAAAGCTTGAGTGTGATTTTGGAACCGCTTCCAGCGCGCTCGATCATGTTGGATCCGTACACTATAGTGGCAAGGCAATGGAGGACGTGATTTTCGAACTCACTTTCTTGCAGGGGTGTGAGTTGCTTTTGTAAAAGGGCGGAGAGTTGATTGCCGAGGGTGATAATCTCAGGAAAAATGGTGTCCGGGTCGAAGTCTTGTGTGCCAATCTTGTAATCGTAGGCTTCGTCCATGCAAATCGTAAACCGAGATTGCATTTTACTTAAACTGCGAGGAGAAACAGTTCCTTGTCCAAAGCGAAGAGTTGATTGCATGTAGTGGCGGATGGACTTGGCAAGGTTGATTCTAGTAGACGGCGGATGTGGATAGGGAGAGGCGGGTTTGATGTCAAGTCCTTCGAAGACATTGGAGAGACTTCCACGTTTGCTCTTCGTCTTCTTGGTTGGAGAGGACATTTTCAAAGTCTCGATGTGAAAGAAGTGGAGACTCAATTGAGAAAAGGGAAGAAAGTAAGAGTTTGCAGATCGAGTGCTTAAGGAAAGTGGAGAGTTAAGGCTGAAGGAAGAAATGAGAAGAAAGTAAGAGCTTGCGGATCGAGTACCTTGAGTAAAGTGGCAAGACAAGGTTAAAGGAAGAACAAAGAAGTGAGAAGCGAGAAGTGAGAAGTGAGGCTGGAAGAGTGTAGTCCAGTCAACATGTGCAGGCAGATGGTTCCCCGGATCGACGTTCCAAAATAGGCTTAGTACCTTCTAAGAAAGCCCAAACAGGCCACGGTGGGTACCCAGGCTTGGCATAACTCTATATCCCATTCCTGGTTCTCGAAGAGTGGGAGCACCTATTACATGTAAGCGGAACATAAAACCTACAAAACCCAAGGTACAGTAGAGAAGCCATATTGTCGGAGGGACAGAAAGCTACGATGCCGGAAGATAGAAATGATGACAATACATCTGTATTGATGATGGACTCTGGAGAGGAAAAGGAAGAGCGAGAGACTATGGAAACTATCTAACAGGAAGTCCTGGGGCGGAGTGGTCACAGTCGCGTGATACACTCTCCAACACATATCCATAAGGCAATAGGTCTACAAAGAGTGCGTGGATGCATGTACCATCCACCTCCCACATCTCCTCTCTTCCCGCATCCCGCGTAAGCTCCTCCACGTCGAGCTCCTAGCCTGTTCCTGTGGCAAGATCAGACCCCGTTCTCCGTCATCCTCACTCCAACCTCGATTGCTGATTATCGTTCCTCAGCGCCCAGTCAGGCAGCTTGTATTCGAATAGCTGGGTGAGGCTCTCTGCTTCCTCAAGCGTGGTGGTTTGCAATGGTGAGTACTAGCGTCTTCGGGACTCCGCTCCGTGACCTCAAGCTCATCTGATTCATCCCCGGACTCTTACTCAGCAAATCAAGTGCTGTGAACGTATCCCAAGCAGCCACCGTACGATCTAGGTCCTTTCTATAATTCTATTGGCCTGGAACGAGCGATTGGTGGTGTCGCCTGTATCAGATGTTTCCGTTCCACAAAGTCTATTGTGCGAGCCGTTTTATGTGCCGCAGAGTGTTTTAAGAATAAGTATCAGTTGACCCACCATTCCATTGGCAAGGTTGAGAAGTCTCATGGACCACTCAAGCGTGCATGGGAAATCCTGTCAGCAGAGCTCAGTGGATTCACAAGTGATGAGGCTATACTTCAAATGGCAATGAAAGCTGTTAATAACACAGCGGGACCAGATGGCTTGGTTCCTACCTTGCTAGTCTTTGGTGCTTACCCTAGGATGACGACCGAATCACCGCCTTCACCTTCGACTACAAAATGAGCTGAAGCCATCAACAAAGCGATGACCGCCCTACGGAAGGCCAATGCTGAACGACGGGTTAACGACGCGCTTCATGCCCGAAACGGCCCCTCTACCTCCGAGGTTCTTTCGCTCCCGTTACAGAGTGAAGTATTTATCTGGAGGGAGAACGAAGGATGACAAGGTCCGTGCAAGATTGTTTCGATTGAGGGACACGACATTATAGTGGATATGGTGAACGGTCCCACAAGTTTCAGGTCTACATCAGTGAAACCCTACCACCGGGCGCCTAAGCAAGATACCACGGAGCCGGTCAGTCAACATGACCCCCCGCCACCTATCGTCGAGGCCCCTCAGCCCCGCCGACGTGGACGCCCGAGAGGTTCCAAGAACAAGACCGCGTCCGCCTTCCTGTCAAGAAAAAAAGGTGAACGATTTGGAACTGGCGATCAAGCTAAGAAATAATAGAGTCATCACGACACCTGGTGAACCATTCGAAGCTTCGGACGCCAAGGAGATCGAAGACCTCTTTAACCAAGGAGTTTTTCGCTTTGAGAAGTACGACCCGACGAGCCACGGAGGCGAGCGCATCTTCAAGTCGCGGATGGTACGAGAAGTAAAGGCTGTGTCGTGAAAGCCTTACGAAAAGTCTCGACTTGTCATACAAGGCCACAATGACAAGGGAAAGGACACTATCCTAACCCAATCCCCAACCATCTAAAGAGCTAGCCAGCGCCTGCTTCTTGCCCTGGCCGCATGTCTAGGAAGTTTCGGCGTCATATCGTTTCGGATACGGAGTGTCACGGCCGGGTTTCTAGGACGGCATTAAGACGGCCTTAAGAATTTCAGGAGCGTGCAGAGTATCAAGGGTACCACAAGTGTTTCCGTCCGTAACCTTTCATTCTCGCCTACTAATTTACGACGTGCGAAAGCCCATATCGCAATGAATTCGGTGCAGTGTTAGGTACTCACATAAAATGCTGTTCGCTGATATGGGTGATCGCATCTTGAGCCTTCCGTTCCGGAGAATGTGACAATATGAACATTTGCATTCACCCGACAAAGAAAGAATGGATGCAAGTTGCTTCCCAAGCTGTCCGAAGCCCCTGGCTTATTGACTATCTTCTCCCTAATAATAGCAACCCTAAACATCCTTTTCTGCTCTCTGATTTACCTTTCCACTGTGGTAAGATACGCCGAGCCCCGTAAATAAAATAAAAAAGGGGGCGTTGAGCGCTGTCAATTACTTAATTGACCTCTCCTTGGTCTATACCTTACTCAACGACGTTTTGAAATCGTAAACCAGTCTCTGCTCAGCTTGGTGAATGCGGAGATGTCTACCTACATGATAAAAGTTCCGGTGCGGTTTACAGCGGCAAAAAATGAAATTCTTTTATCACATATATCGATGGTCATAATTCGGCGTTAAGATAAACCCGGTACACGTCAGCATTAGAGTCTATGGCGGCTTTAAGAGGAGACCCGTTCAAGTATGTCCAGAAGTAACAATCGGAGTTCTTATGATAAGGAATTAAGAATACCATACGGGTGTTACTAACAATAACAAGTAGCTGACAAGACGGGCCAAACCGGAGTTAAGGCCGTGCTTCTATTAATCCCGTCTTCGGTAGGTGTAAAGTGGACCTAACTACGCTGCCGCCAAAATTGCCTGGGATATAAATATGAATGTCTGAGCACGTTACCTCGTCCTTGAATATATTGCTCCATCACTTATCAATTACCAATTCCGGCCACTTATGTTACATTTCATGCCAATTTCCAATTTACAAAAAGTCAAATACGCTTGAGCCTCTTCGACCGTATTAGTCTTCGGCATGAAGATTTTGATCTTGGGTGCAACTGGTGCTTGTGGGGAACAAATCACCCGCAAGGCCATCACAAATGGACATCAAGTTACAGCGTTCGTGCGCAATGCCGGGAAACTATCCCAGGATCTCGCACCCAAAGTCCAGGTAATTACGCTTACTCCCTCATGGTCAAAGCATCGGCTAATCAAGCTGCGGCAAGTAGGTAATCGAAGGCAGTATCACGGATGAAGAGACCTTACGGGGCGCAGTACGAGGCCAAGCTGTCATAATTTCGGCCCTAGGGCCCGCGGGTCCTGGATACAAATCATGGAACGATACGTATCGTGGTGTGTTCCCTTCCTTCTACACCCTACTGCTACGCGTGATGCGGGAATGTGGTGTGAGGCGGGTGTTTGCGATGACGACAGTGAGTGTGTACGCAGAACAGGATCAGCGCTCTGTTGCACGAGCGGCATTGACGGGGTTAGTATGGGCTTTTGGTCGACCAGCTTATAAAGAGTTTGTTGAAATCGGGAATACATTTCAGAGCCATGGGAAAGATATCGAATGGACTGTGTATCGAGTGGGCGCCATTACTGACGGAGACGAGGGCAAACCAAGCGCTGGCTACGTTGGACAGAAAGGCTCTGGGCTGAGGATTACCAGGAAGTGTATGGCGATCTGGCTTGTCGAGCAAGCAGAAGCCTTCCCATTAGAATGGGTGAGGCAGATGCCATATATTTCGTCGACCTAAATAAGTCTCGTAGGAGGAGCATGGGAAGGAAGAGTGATTGCTACTGAGAATGAGCCTAACCTCGACCAGCAAGCCTGACTAGCATCGAAGACACAATTGCATAAAATCTTGGTGTAAAAAAATGTACATTTGGGATATTCTATCCCCCAACCCGTTGAGTTGCATTCTCGAAGGTTTATGTGATCAATGACGGGGGAATTACCGAAAACAGTCCTCGGCCGTAGTCGTCTTGCCTGTTGTCCTCTTAACAATCCCTGGCCATGATAAGATTCCTATTGACCATTGATAAAAACGATGAGACAGGGGCGAGTCAGCATAATCCGATCGATTTCCGCAACTCTAAACACCAAGTGATGAAAACAGCTCTTTCGCAATAATTATACGCTGTTCGGTTACATTATCATATAGCGCTGAACATGCTTTTCCCCGAAGGAATGGGAGATATATTCGCTAACTCACAAACAGGAAATCCAACCGGGGTTCCTCAAACAAACTTGCGTGTTTGGAGGGGGGCTAATTTTAATTTCCCCCTTATCCCAGTTGATCGCAATAACGATACATAATTAAACTCTACAACAAGAACACTGGATAGCTTTAAAGACGTTTCATTACTAAGTTGGTGGCTATTTAGGCCATCTTAGAGAGTCCTGCGCCTGTCGAATAGAGCATCTACGGAAGATATCTGGATATTCTCATTGGACTCAAATCAAAAAGGGATGTTTTATATCAATTTTGTAATGTACCTTTGATCATGAAGCTTGAAGTATGTATTGCTAGTCTGTGAACGTGTGAGGAAGCCTTACCATATATCATATCCAATCGCGGCATCACGAAACTGTGTACTAGGAAATCATCAAGAAGGGTGCCGAGCTCCTTGACCCAAAGGATCTGCCAGCCTCGAAAGGTCGCCTGGATGATTTCACGATGGCCGAGAAAGTCGCGACTGAAAGATTTATACTTCTTATAATAATGAAAGAGTACTCTATTCAAAATAACTAAGATAGAGAGAGAAAGAAGAAGCAAGTTGTAAAGTGGGAGGCAGGGGTTATTATAGCTGACTACTTTACAAACAATGCAAACAGCAAACAAATAAACAAGCAAACATGTCAATCGTAACACTTAGAAGGCCTTTTTATACTTATAGTACTAGTAGGCCTCCTGTTATTATATTGTTAGAACCCCTCTGTGTAAGGTGGATCTAGTATTGGGTCTGATTGGTTTGGTGCACCAAGAGTGGGGTAAAAAGGGTATATAAATTAGAAACCTGACATAACAACCATCTGGGTTGTTATAGTGGTCTTTTTGGTAAGTCGTTGGCTTATTAGATACGTACCCATTCTAGCAAGGTGGTGTCAGGCCCACCTGCTCTAACACTTATATACTAAGGGCGAATTGAGTATTAGCTGTATATAACATGTGGCTTGAGTACGGCTGAGCGGACGGGAAGCCCTATTTTCCACACCCTATGGTCGTATGTGTCTGATACAGCACTGGAGGGAAACATATAATGGCTGAGAACTATAGACTACCGTTGGTGGAATGGTAAGACGGCTTATATCTCATCGTCAACATCAGGTCAGGTGACCTCTGCCCCTAGATGGTCATAGCGTCATATATCCTATGTCTCGTTAAGCTTCATTTCCAGAAGGTTATTATAGACTTCC